AAGGGAGAACCGCGTGGAGGTCAACCTTACATGGTACGGTTAGAGGCCGACATTTCACCACCGTACCACCCGCCAGAAACTAAAATACCACCCTGATCATCTGGATGAATGGCGGTGCTCCACAGTGCGGTTTTCTAGAAACTTTTTGTAACGCACAACCACATTGTGGAATCACCTTCGATATTGAAACCTTCAAGAAAAGTGCTTTCTCCTTTTTAAAATGCCGACAACGTACTTGCAATTCCCCTGGTGTTGCGGGTGCTCATGGGCGGCGGTAATCACTTACCATCAGGTGAGCCGCATGCTCGTTTGTCCCGTGTTATAAAAAAACATTGCTAGCAATAAGGTCATCAGTCCACATTACTAACAATCTTAAACATCACGTTTACTATACACATAGAACACGTGTTGAAATAGGTCATTCCATTTGAGAATCGGCTCTACAAACTTAGCAGGCAGAAGGTTCAAATTTATAACACGTTTATTTAGAGTCGGTTATTAAAATATACTAGAATTGCCAACCGTCCTGTTTTCCCAGGACATGTCCTAGTTTCAGTAGTGTCCTGGATAGTTTTACGCAGCGTCCTAGGTTTTTAAAATGCCGTGATAACATCATGTATTTTCACAATTCGCGCGCCATTTTTGTAATGGCTGTTCGTATTGTAGAGTTTTTTAAAATACTTTTAAGTATTAAAGACTGATTATTATCATTACTTGAATTTTATTAATTTAACCTATTGACATTGTATAATATTATAATATAACTATAACAAGTATATTACTGAGTCCTGGTTTTAAACACAAATTGTCCTGGTTGTTTCCAACTTCCTATGCTAGTTTTTTAAATTTGGTGTTGGCAACCCTAAAATATACCTATATCGATGTCAGATATGATTGTATGTCAGTGCAACACGTAACAAAAGCTACACGAATTTCATTAATTTTGGTAATCTCCAATGTATTATAATATATCCACACATCTATGAAAGAATAATAATAATAATTAGCATAGTTCCTCCCTTCTCTTCTATTCTGTCCCCAACTGGATCCATAATTGATCTGCTGTGAATTTCATTATTTACCAACTGCTTGCTGTTTAATTTGGGAATGCAATGCAACAAAAATAAATAAACAGTTAAAATATATTTTGAAATATCCATGGCTTTATTTTTATTCATAATAATAATGAAAATTAACCAAAAACTTATTATCAAGGTAGACTTTGTTATTGTAGGTTTTTTTTTATATGTACATGATAATAGCAGGGTGGCCCCGTAGCGTGGTGTACACTGGCGACATCAGTGGAGGATGATAAGGTGAGGTGAGATCATTCAGTGATTATATAACTAGGATTTAACCAACGGGGACCGCGTGGGGACCCATCTAACATGAGCAATGATTTTCGGGTGGTACGGTGGTGAAACTCAGCAGCTGGTATTAATCCGAACAATTCCTCAGAACACTCCCCGTGATATATGCGGTAGAAGATGCACAGAGATGCAATATCACGCCGCAAAGCCAATGGGTCGAGTCTGTCACGTAGACGTTGATTGCCAGTGATTCTGGCTGCTCGGTTCTGAATGCGGTCAAATGGAAGTAGCTGGTATTGTGGTGCTCCCGCCCAGAGGTGAGAACAGTATTCCATGTGCGGCCGGATCTGCGCCTTGTATAATAAGGAGCAATGATATATTGCTACAATCTCCTTCCTTCCGTTTCGGACTACTCTACTTCTGTTGCTGCTGGCCTTTAGCCTCACCGGACAATAGGGAGCGAGTGCAGATGACACTCCAAACCAAAGGAAGGACTTATGCATCTGAAAGCCAACTCCCGCCTGACGGATACGACTTTAGTCTGACGGCTGATAAAAACCATCGCTCCTAAGAATATCCTTCAATTCTTGTCCCTGACGGGTCTAGGTAGCGAACTTTGAAAAAGGGCGAGCACAATAGATCTATGTAGGTCGCAGTGTTACAGGTGCTACAAACATCTGACAATAGGGGGGAAAGGGGATTGTTAGTAATGTGGACTGATAAACTCATTGCTAGCAATGTACCATGTCAGGTCGACCTCCACGCGGTTCCCCCTGGAAACCATCGTGTTAAATTCCTGGTGAATTTGTCACGATGGGCTAATTGACCTGACCTCATGTTCATCTTATCATCCTCCACTGGTGCCCCGCCAGCGTAATCCGTTAGCGCAGGCGGGTGCACTATTCCATTATCATCCACAAAAAAAAACATCTGACAATAATCGAAACGACACAATAAAAAAAAATTGTCTGAAGGCACCGCTAGATTCGAACCTCGGCTCAGGCCTCGTATTATCGATCCATCGGGACTGGCACGACGATAGCCACCAATATCGCGTGTTATTATTAGTTAAATGATTACTGTGTTCAAAGTAACATATTGAAAAGATGGTTATTAATAAGTAGCTGGTGACAATAGGGACTTGATTCTCGGCAATCAATTAATAAATTGTCCGCCAGTGACAGGTCGATAAACTCGTTAGTTCGCGGTCCATTGCGTCCAGATTGTGATGCAGACGGCTCCATCTGCGTGTGAACACTGTGACTAATGACTTCATTTCATCTCCATACATTTTAAATCCATTACCATCAATATAAGAGCACCATTTGAGATCATGAGTAATGCCAAATTATAATAATCTCAGGACAATTCACACAGCGCCATCTAGACCCAAGTTAAGCTAGCTAAAGCTTGTGTTATGGGTGCTAGACAACTGATACAAATACATAATTTCAATTACAATAATTTGAGGTAAACATTATTTAACCCCTACATTTATTTCAATTAAAGTGCCCACAGGTGATCACTTTGTCCCAATGTGTAAATTTGCTTTAGTTGCGGAGTGACCCACTGGTGGGCATACCGTCTTTAACATGTTAAAAGAGAGGTAAGCAGGTAATGCATTAATCATGCATCTAAATGGGCATGTTCCAGACGGAGAGAGATGTACATATGCCACTAGTTTGTTGCCTAACTTTGATGACTAGTTTGTGTGAGTGAGTATTGTGTTTGGCTTACCAATAAATGAGTTAATGAATTTTAATTGAAGACCTATCCTCATGCAGCAATACTTTCGAATATCTCAAATATCAATCTTATTAACTTCTTCGGCAATGGTAAGCTATGGTAACCATTTACCATCAGATGGGCTGTATGCCTGTGTACCACACAGGCATACAGCCCATCAGGTTGGATCATACAGGTTGTATAAAAAATATGTGAAAATTGTGAGTATGTACAGATGTTTATTACACTTCCATGCAAAAACTACTGAATAGATTTTGATGAAATTTCACAGCAATATAGCTTATATATCAGAATAACATATAGTCTGTAAATTTAATGTGGGCACAGCTAGTTATATACAAATTTTGTTATTGGTACAGTTTATTAAATTATATTTTCACTAACTACTCGCCCCAGCTTCGAACGGATGAACATGTATTATACATACAAACCTTCCTCTTGAATCACTCTATCTATAAAAAAAACTGCTTCAAAATCCGTTGCGTAGTTTTAAAGATATAAGCATACATAGGGACAGACAGACAATGACAGCGACTGTTTTATACTATGAAATAATGATGATATTGTAGCAATAACAAAATTTTATCTTCTTATTTACCTTATTAATTATAAAATTGATTCACCATTAATTACCAATAGTAATTAGTTAATTAGAAAAACATATGAATCACATATACAAAGATGGAGTTCATAGAAATATGTTGAGGATTATGAGAATTAGGACAGAACGGACTCAAGGACAGGTAAATTTTGTATCAAAATCTATCCCAGACTCCGTGCTTCCAGTGCTGTTAAATTGGTAGGACTTTACAATACCTACAATCGATTTCGATGTGTATTACAATAAAAACTAAATTTAAATAGGTAAAAATTGCACAAAAACTTTTTAAAAATAGTTTAACTTAAATTATGTAATGAATAACGAAACGCCGAGCGGATGTCAAAAGTGTTTACTAACTGGTTTCAATAAAGTTAAAATTTCAAAAATTTATTCCTCGAAAACTATGACTTTCCGCATGTTGAAATTTTAGAAGTAGACTAACAATAACAAGATCTATTAAACGTAAAATATTCAACTCTCAAATAAATATAATATGTATGTAAAAGATGCAACTTCCACACAGGTATTTTCCTTCAGTTACTATTGCCATATTTATAATAGATGCAGGTGACATATGTATGGAAAATTAAACTAAAAAAATAGTTTATCTATATAAGATGTTAACATTACTGGTTTTAATTACCAAAAGTGCATAAGAGTACTGTTACTTGTTTACTTGTGTTTGTTTTGTTGTACATAACAATAGTAGGTGTTATGTACAACAAAACAATCAGATGATATCAGACAAACTATTCAATTTTCCATGCAAGAATCTCAATTTTTCTTATTGAATTTTATCAAGACTTTGCCACTTAAAAAATCTGTTTAATTATTAAAATAACTTTTATGATAATAATATACAATTCATACAATGTAATTAGTTATTAGAAATTCTTATTTATTCAAGTGAATTATAGTTATTGTATACACTATTTTTCAGAAATTTTCTAAATAAACTTTTAATGTTTACCTTTTTGAATTATGTTGTTTACTGTATATAATATGCCAGGAATAACTGCTAATATTTTGAAATTCAACAAAATTAGATCTAAAAAATATTTCTTATAATCGATAACTGAGTTATATATGCTACTTTACTATCGTAAAAATCGTAAACTTAGTCACCAAATTGCCGGCGAGGCTAACTTATTTGCTCTCCAATATTAGTAATGTTCTCATAAGATTGCCAATGTACACCCAATACTGAAACGGCTGATGACATAATCATCAATAAAGATGAGAAAACGTGTACACACAATAACAATAATGAGTTTTGGTGTTTGACACCTACACCGAGCCAGTGGATTTTGCATCTAAAAATACGGCGCAAGCCAACCACTCACCTGTTGGGCCACCGGCTCCAATATACTCTCGATAATCTTCGTATGAAACACAGGCATTTTAGCAGATCACACTGGCTATCTAACACCCAATAACATGAGATAATCAACACAAATAAATAATAAACTTTCTCACATACAACACAAAATAAACAACACAACCGTAAGGAACGAGATACAAAAAAATACTACATTTATCGAATGAAATAAATTGCTGGAATGAAAACTGAATGAATTGTACATAGAACGAATGAATCGAGTCCGTGTCATCGATTAGTGCGTGTACGATTCATAATCGCTGGAGCCGCTCTCTATAAGATTGTGAGCCACATTAATACGTAATAAATGTCAGTCACTCATTGATATTATACTTTATTATACTGTACTCGAAACAACTGCTTATAATGAGCGACAATTTATGTTATACATATTTTAATTGATACCAAAATTGCAGCAATCACTCTTGCAAAAATCGGTTATTCTTTATGTTACCGATTATATTATAATCGATACTTACGAATTAAAAGAACGAACACTTTCGAAGTAGAATTTGACATTCCAGTTTGACAACTCTGATGTCCGCATAACTGCATTGTATTACCATTTTTTTTAATAATGCTTTATTCATGACCATGGATACAAGTCCTTCAGTCGAATACATTTTTATAATGAATTTAATACAAAACATAAGAAATAAACTATTATACAAGCTTAGACAGTACAATTTTAGTAATTATTCATTAATATTAAATTTTTTCCACAGTATGTACAATGTAGTTATATATTGGAATAAAATATGCAAAGTGAGATAGCAAATCTTGAACGCGGCGGGGAATACTTTGTGAGTGTTCCTTTGCGATGTCACTAATGTCACTGACAAGAATCAACCGTTGTATGTTGAAAACTTGGCATTCAAATATAATATGGTTTATGTCAGCATTTATCTTGAAACAGTGGTTGCATCTGTTGTCATTTGTGATTTTAATTCTGTTGAGATGGGATGGAACTAAACAATGGCCGAAACGTAGACGATTGATGATAGTGATAAATTTTCTATTGTAATATTTGAATTTGCTGTACCAAGGTGTCACTGGTAAGTCTGGCTGTAATTCTGCATACCATTTTCCTTTATTTTCTGTGGTTATGTTCCAGTACTCTTTCCACACTCTTCGTAAGTTACTTTTAAAATATTGGTAGTAGTCGGTAAATGGCACTTTCAAAATGTCTGTCTGATCTTCATCATATTGTTGACGAGTTGCCAAGTCTACGACCTCATTTCCAGGTATGCCACTGTGTGAGGGTACCCATACAAATTCTACATTCTTATTTTTACTTAAAGTTATTAACCTATTTTTTATTTCATATATAATATAATTTTGTTTATATGTACAATTGCCACTGGATAAAGTCTCCAATACACTCTTGAATCAGTAACTATTAGTATATTTACATTATTTACAAGGTTATTAACATATAACAAAGCACTTAATATAGCATAACTTTCGGCTGTAAAGATGCTGCAATTACTTTTGAGTTTAATACATTTAGTATATTTCTTTTGTGGATCATAATAAGCTGCTTTAACATCATTTAAATTTTTAGAACCATCGGTATAAATAACATAAAATTCTGATTTCTTATTTAAAAATTCTGCAAAGTCATATTTGTTATATATTAAATCTAAATGAAATGTAGTGTCAAGGAAACAGATTAGTGAATCATATGGACATTTGTATACTGGCCATTTGTCATTTATATATATTCCACCTGTAGCATTTTTAACATGTGTCATTATTATTGAAATTTCAGGTAATGATCCTGAAATAATAACAGATGCTGATATGGGGGAACCTACAACTAACTGAGAAAGCTGTGCAGGATATAAAATATTTTTAAGCACAATACTATTACTGGAAGATAATTCCTTTATACAAAATCTTTCTGCCAGTTGCAAACGTCTTAGAGACAATGGAGGTATACAATTTTCAACTTCCATACTATTTATAGGCGTGGAACGCATAGCTCCACTAATGATTCTCAACCCTATATTTTGTATAACATCTAATTTCCTCAACAACGTGGTACTAGCAGTCATATAGGCTAAACTACTATAATCAAAATGACTTCTGACTATGCTTTTATACAGTATATTGAGTGTTTTGGGATCAGAGCCCCAGTAAGTTCCTGCTAAACATCTCAAAATATTTATGCTCCTCATTGCATTTTGACAAATGTAATCTATATGTTTATCAAATTTTAATTTATTGTCCAAAACTATACCTAAAAATTTGTGTTGATGAACAATGGGTATTATTTTGTTATTATACATAATTTTAAGATTAGTTTGTGTGAATGTATCTCTACTAAATACTAACACAGAGCTTTTTTCTGAACTGATTTCTAGTTTTAGAATATTTGAATAATACTTTTGTAATTGATTTAGTGCAGTATTTATATTATTTATAGCCAAAGGCAAACTTTGACTCTCAGTGTATAAAAGCAAATCATCTGCAAACTGTAGTATGTTAACTTTTGTAGTATCCACATAATTGAGGATTTCAGATGTATACAAGCCATACAATAGAGGGGACAGGGTTGCTCCCTGCATTGTTCCCCTATTAACATATTTAGGTCCATGTAGGATATTATTATACTTAACATAAACAGTTCTGTTTTTTAAAAAATTAAAAATCCAGTTTAATATTTTACAGGGGAAATTTAAATTATGTAGAACATGAATTAAGGATTCTATATTTACATTATCGAAAGCACCTTTAACATCTAAAAATACACACACAACATTGGAATGACTTAATTTTGCTTTTTTTAATAGGGATATAAGAGTTACAAAGCTTTCAGAACAACTTTTGCCTTTTCTGAATCCAAACTGAATATCTGGCAACTTATTCTGTGTTTCAGTAAAGTAGTCCAAACGTAATTTTAACATGTTTTCAAATAGTTTGCCTAGACACGATGACAAGGAAATGGGCCTATATGATGATGCACAGTTAATATCCTTATTTGGTTTCAAAATTGGAATAACACACTGGGTTTTCCAGGATTCCGGTATTATTAAATTCTCCCAAAGTTTATTGTATATATCTAATAGTATTTTAATTGCATTTGGATGTAGCTGTTTTATTAATTTATATGTAATATTGTCCAAGCCTGGTGTTGTATCTTTCCTACTCTTAAGCGAAATATGAAGCTTGTAAAGGGTCTGTTGAGAAAGGAGTCACTATCATTTTTATCAGATTGATTCAATATATCAACTAAATTTGCATCATTGCATTGTGATGGAGCTGTCATATCTAAGAAACTTTGTACCCAGTCATCATTAAAATTTTTGTTGGAAGATGTACCTATCCTTTTAAACTTTTTAATGGAACTCCATATTTTTGAAATAGGTGTCATTCTATTGAAGCTACTACACAACTCTTGCCAGGAATCTATGCGTTGTTCCTTTAGAATTATTTTTTTTTTAGCATCAACTTTTTTATAATTTATGAAGTTAACAATTGTTGGGGTAACTCTATATTGTAAAAGGGCTCTCTTAGACTGTTGAACAGCATCATCACATGTTTTGTTCCACCAAGGCACTGGTTTTCTTAAAGTGTGTATAGTTTGTTTAAACTTTGATTTTGGTACTGTCTTGTCTCTGATGTCATATAAAATATTAACAAAATTATTATAAAATTGTAATGGTGTGTCATTATTTACATTATTATGTACATTTAAGTGGGAAAAAATACTTTCTGATAAAGAAAAATATTTCGACCAGTCTGCTTTATTATATAAAAATTTTTCTTCTACAGGTCGGACCTCATACACTGATGGCCTCACATTTACACTTACCTGAGTTGGATAGTGATAGCTGCCCATCGGGTCATCATGGACTTTCCACTCACAGAGAGGAGCTATTCGGGGACTAACTAATGTTATATCTATTGCTGATGCCTGCCTGTTTGGTGATTGAATGGTGGTTGGACTACCATCATTTAACACACATAAGTCAAGTTCATCTATGAGATTGTATATGTTATTACCTCTACTATTGTTTGTATGACAACCAAACAAAATATGATGTGCATTAAAATCACCCATAATGAGACATGGCTTAGGAGCACTAAGTAGAACTTTTTTCAGTGTGTTGGTATCAAATCTTCCATTAGGAGGACAATACACACATAGTATGTTTAATTTGCCTATGGATGTTTCTATTGCAATACATATATTCTGAACTGATTCATAAAAAGTAGTAGTTATGATATTATATTTAAAATGTTCTTTTATTAAAATACCCACTCCATTGTGTGTATTTACTGAGTTTTTGAATATGAAATTATAGGATGTAAATTTAGGAATTTTACTGTTACTTTTAAGCCATGTCTCATTAATGAGACAGATATCAATATTTTGTTCATTCATGTATTTTTGCAACAGAGCTTTTTTACTCTGTAAGCTTTGTATATTAAACTGGGCTATATTTAAGTATGTATTCATTAAATTAAATTTGACAACAATATTTCTTTTATTGTCTTATTAGTTATTGACATTTTCTCTTTGTTGTTACCGAGAGCAACAAGAGATTTAACTAATGCATTAATTATAATTTCATTATTTACAATTTGATCTGCATTGAATGCAGTATTATTATTATTTACATTTTGTTTAAATTGTGAATTATATACATTTAAAGATTTCTCTAAAGTGGGATATACTTTTGGGGTTGTACTACTTGAGGGCATACTCACAACAGCGGCATAGGAGTGATTGACATATTTACTTCTTTTTTCTTCAATTTTCTTCTTTTTAATGGGACAATCTCTCGAAATTGCTAAGTGGTTACCACTACAATTGATACAAACGATTTCTTCTACATCACATTCTTTGTATGAGTGTTGACCAGCACATGATGAGCACATCTGTGAGCTACGGCATACTTTAGCTGAATGGTTAAACTTCAGACATTTGTAACATTGGACTAATGGTGGAATATAAGTGTGTACAGGATATCTAAATAATTGTATGTAGGCATATTGTGGTAAAGTGGTAGCTGCAAATGTGACGGCTACAGTGCCCAATGGAGATAGTTTTCCCTCTACTTTTTTCATAAAACGTTTGATGGATATCACTTCGGTATCACAACTAATACTTTTATAAATATCTTCGTTGGACATGTCTGTCGGTACGTATCTTATGATACCAGTTTTTTCTGTGATATATGCTGGTACAAAAGCCTTAAATTTATACTTGTTTAAAAAATTGTCCATTTTTAAAAAATTATTGGCTGGTGCGGGTTTTCGAAAGGTCACACCTATTTTATAGGCGTTTACTCTGTGTACACCTGCAATGCCTTTCACATTTTCGGTGAATAACTTTGTTAAAGTAATGGGGTTTTTATTCCCAACTTTTTCATTTTCTGTAGATTCTACATAGACAACACAATCTACACTATGATTTTCAGGAAACTGTCTTTTGTAATTGGGTTTTGTATACATTTTATAGTCCTCGGATATAATTAAATGATTCGGCGACATCTTCCGTTTTTTGCCGCGTTGATATACGGTCGACGGGGTTTCCCCCGTCGCTACTATCATATTTTCTTTGCTTGTTTTACTATTTAGGTATTTACAATAAGATATACAATATTTACAATAAAATTAAAATTAAAATAAAAAAATAAAAAAGGTTAAAATTTAAAACACCCCCTCAATTTGACTTCCCGTCAAAAAAGTCAACATCGTATTACCATCGTTATCAGTGGCGCCAATTTGAGAATTTTCCTTATTTTTGTGGTAATTACGGAAAATTTGAGAACAATAAGTACTTGATTGCGTGAGACAAAATTAAATATTAAAAGAAAATAGTTCATAATTATAATATACATTAAATTCAATACTCAAAAATTATTTCCTTTAAATAGATTTTTATGATAGGTAGACGCTTCTTCTATGCGGGCGCCCTGGAAACAATTATGAATAACGTCTGAGCAATTTATCTCTAATCGATGACTAAACTGATTGTCTTTATCCCCTTATGGGGAGGCAACAATAAATAGTAGCTGAGTGCAGGTCTTTTCAGCTCATAGCGAAATATTAGTTTTAAGTTTTCTATATTTGTACTCTGTAATATGGCGCTGAATAAATGATTATTATCTTATATATAAAATTTTCGTGTCACAATGTTAGTTACCATACTCCTCCGAAACGACTTGAGCGATTTTTATGAAATTTTATATGCATATTCAGTAGGTCTGAGAATCGGCTACTATTTTTTATACCCCTAACTGATAAGGTGTCTTCCCCTAACAGTCATTTTTATTTTTTGTAGTTTTTTTTAATAATGTGGCGTTAAAAAATACGTACGATCCTAAATTTTCACCCTTCTACCATTATTTTTTACGATTTTTGTCTGGCTGTTTGCTCCGACTGATCTCTGAAATGGCTGGACCGATTTTGACGAGACTTTTTTTGGCAGGTAGCTGATGTTATAAAGAGTAACTTAGGATGGAGGATAGGAGGAAAAAGGTGCGGTACAGCTAGTTATTAATACAGATGTAATTAAAATTACCCACTCTATTTTCGGGAACATTTGAAACAAATTATTATTTTGTAATAAATTTATTTTAATAGCGTAATAAGTAGGTAATAAATACTTATAAACTATTAAGTCTTTATATTACGTGCAATTATAAACGTTAACAGGGAATTAGAAATTTCAATTAATAAATTATGAAAAACAAACTTCATACAAATGTTTTACAGCACTATTTACATCGTTACTGTATAGTAACTGTGAATAACAATAATCAAAATTTAACTCGTTCCTTTTCATTATCCCGTCTCGTTTCCTGTTTTTAGTGGCATAATAGGCAAAACTAGCCTCTTGCCAAAGATAAAAAAAAAAAAACTATAACTGTTGAAACAACTGATCAATTGAACACTTTGAGAATTAACAACTACATAGTTACCTATTTTGACTATATATATCACATATATACGTACATAGTACATACATATACAATTATATGTGAGCAGGGGATTTGCGTTACGCTTTTTGACTTCCCGAGAAGACCTAGGGACTACAAGAAATAATCTATACATCTATACATGTAAATAAAATTGGAATGTCTGTTTGTAATATTGAAATAACCGTTTTTTACTACATGCATATGAATATAAATACGGTACATACATCAAAATATCATTTTTTACAATTTCTGTCTATCTGTCTGTTTGTTCCGGCTAATCTCTGTAATGGCTGGACCGATTTTGACGCTGCTAATAAGAAGTAATTAGGCTACGTTTATTTTAGAAAAATGAAGTTAAATTTCACGCGGACGAAGTCGCGGTTACAGCTAGTAATTAATAAATTATTGGGAATTATTGAGTGTGGGCTTCAGTCAGGTGCTTTGGACCTGTAGCACTGCGACATACATACATCTATTGTGCTCGCCCTTTTTAAAGTTCGCTACCTAGACCCGTCAGGGACAAGAATTGAGGATATTCTTAGGAGCGATGGTTTATATCTCCTCAGCCCTACTCCAATACTGCATTCTCAATTTTTTTATCTAATTTAAACGGCCAATAATTATGGTAAGCGGTTACCAAAGAGTATTGGGCGAAAAGGGGATTGTTAGTAATGTGGACTGATGATCTTATTGCTAGCAATGTACCATGTCAGGTTGACCACGGTCCCCCTGGAAACCATCGTGATAAATTTGTCAAGAAGGGCTAACTGACCTGACCTCATGTTCATCTTATACTCAACTGGTGCCTCGCCAGCGTAAACCGTTAGCGCAGGCAGGTGCACCATTTCATTATCATCCACAAAAAAAACGAAAGATTATTCTATCTGACTGTTACATACATAGACAGCATCACATTATCATGTGATAGCCGTGATACCACTCATGCATACCAGATGTCTGAGACGTAATGCCTCTTCTATAATTTCTAATTTTGGGAAAAAATCTTTGGAAAAATTTCTTTTAAAAGTACTTCCAAATATTTATTATTTTTGAGATAATGCAGCATTGCAGTAATAGCCTATGTTTTTTTTGCCTTATCCGTATGTTATAAATAGGAAATACCTCGATTCTTCCCTCTTATTATAGATACATACAGAAGCGGATCTACCTAAGAACTTTTTGGGCAGCAGCCCAGTGCCCCGAGGATACAAAGGACCCCCAGTCCCCACTGAAGGTTGGCAACCCTGAGGTCAATCAACCCATGCAAGTGCACGTCTATCGAAAGGAACGGAGAATTTCTGCTCGTTTTTGGTGGGTGTATTTTTTTAGTTGAGTGATATAATTAGGTAGGCCCGTAAGTAGATTTAGCCCAGGGCCCCACAAATTCACGATCCGCCCCTGGATGCATACCTAAGGCTTGAGACTTTTCGAGATTGTTTTTACAAATACAGACATATTAATATTTTTCTCAGAAACTTTTACAGATTAAAATACCTATATATATAATCACTAACACAAGGAAAGGTCGCCGCTATGTTACCCTAAATTATTCATAGTGCAATCCCATCTTTCCCCATAACAGTTATTTACTTCATACAAATTCGATGTAATAACAATTAAAATATTTTAATAGTGTTTCACTTTATACGTAAAATATATTTTAACATTAAAGACCCGTGAGCGAACTCGTCGTTGAGAATATTACGGCTATGTTTAAAACATTTACATTTACTAACAAGTATCTTAACATCGTATAATTATCTATTATTAAATTAAAATATACACCAGATTTCGCTATCTTAAAATCTAATTTATCCTTGACATCCTGATGACCGACACTTTTATATATACCTAACTAGCAATATCGCCCTTTTATTTATATCTTATATTTCTATATATATATAAATAAGAGATATCTCTTATTTTTCTTTATATTCTATATTTGAAAACAGTGTTCGATAAAAGATGCAATTGCAAAGGCAGTTTATTTTAGGAACGTAGTGCCTAATATCCTCAAAGTTGAAGATAAGGAAACGAGTTCAGTGTGACGTCGACGGAACCCTCTGATATAATTGACTATTTGTAAAAGAATTTACTTATCAAAACGGACTAGAACAAACAGAAATATTTCCTGCTTTATATTATACTCATAATATCACAAACCAAAATAGACACAAATATAAGATATCGTTATCTGAAACTGATAAGTTCGAAGTCAACATGATCACAGGTACATACGTCGCGTCGTATCTAACGAGTTTGCACTAGACCCTTACAAGTATTCAACTATATCGCACTTGATAGATATATTGGGACAGCTGACGCCGTAACTTAGGTTCAAGCCGTGCGGTTGGCTCTTGTGCCTTTCCGTCAACAGTTTGTGGAAGATGGGTAAGATGGCGCACTCGAACAGTTCCGACTCGGAGCTGGCCGTGTACATCTTGCGCTGCTCCACAGACTCCTGTCTCTTCGAGTCGCTGCGGCTGTACGTCGCCGATTTGCGGTCCTCTCGTTTGTTTGGTGAACCTGCCCATTAAAAAAAAATGAAAAAAATAATTATATAAAGTCATATCATTATAATTTTTTAATATTCTGATAGTTCATAGACTATATTTATTTTTGAAAAAGGATTTGTTCAATTACATTATGTATTTTTTAACCAAGGGCCCTGGGGCAAATAATAAAATGGGGCCCGACAATACAGTTTTATTAAAACGCACATGTCACTATCCGTCAAATTGACAACACTGTCAATTCACAGAAATAATTTAGGAGAATTACGAAGGTGTAACATTCGAATTTCTCTGAACAGAGTTGCCATGATTAAAGTCGGCTAGCAACCTGTCATATTTATTTTGAAAATGGGAGAAATTTTGAAAAGTTCAAGTTGATTGAGATTTTCTGGTAAGGGTTCGAGTGCCCCCGAGCTTGAGGGCCCCGTGGCGCTGCCCCGCCTAACCCCTAGGTAGCTACGCCCCTGGCAATATCTATAATTAGAATTCATTCACTGTTCTCTTGATAGTGTCATATCATCATATCAATATATCGCTCACCTGATTTATGTCTAGAAGCTACATTAGGACTGCTCTTATGATGATCAGGCCTCGGTTGGTGGGATGCCTGCGTCAATCGTGGTGAATCTCCCACACCCTTCGCCCTTTTGAGAGGCTCTGCCTCTTGACGTAACCTCTTTGCAGGCGAGTCTTGACCTTTAGACACTCTAATTGTGTCCGGGTCCGGTCTCCAAGAGTCTTCTTGCGGTAATTCTTGCACAGCCTTCCGAGGAATGTCGTCATGTCTTCGAGGTTTCTGTTCAGGTTTTTCCGCTGTTCTTTCATGGTCTGTTTCTTGCAGTGACCTTACCTAAAAAATAGATATTTTTCTGTTGAACTGTTTGTGGATATCACGACCAATGTTTACATAATCTTTCATAAACCCAATAATGCTTATACTTCAGAGAAGAATAAACAAGATTTTAATATTTTTTTATATATAAATGTAGATTTTAGTTCAAATTCTTTTTTTCTTTATAAGAAAGTACTAGGGCACCATTGTTACATAGAAGTTACTAACTTGTGCAGAAGACTGTCGTCGTTTAGCTTGATTCTGATGTGGAGGCGTGCTCACGGGTTGTGGGAACTCTGAACCGCGCCGCTGCTGAATCAATATTATTATTAGTGGTCATTTCTACATTATATATATAATAATATGATTGTGTTCAATTAACTGGAATGGCAAATATTCGGTCAAACAATGTATCAAAGAATTTGACATAAAAAATAATACCTTTGACACCCGATCACTCATTCTTAAAGTTTCAGCCTCCCGGTAACCTTCAGGAGTACCTCCTCTTGTGGTGCCAGCTGAAATTATTAATTTTGTTGTAAAAGCATTGCAGAAATCGTTAATTCCAATATGATTTCCAAAAACCATTATTCCCTTACCGTAATTTATGGAGGCATTTGAAGCTCTTCTCTCCATACTCTTAACATCTGGGTCTCTGTAAACAAACATTAGTAAATTACTTCCGGATTGTAGGGACTGGTCTGCTCTAATTACAAAGACTGCTTAATCGTATTTAGTTACTCAACCAGTTGGTTGTCTTTATTAATTTGATAATAAATTAGTGATAGTTGGTAGTTTGTATTCACGCATTTATACTTAAAAATGTAATGCATTTATATTTAAAGTATCAACTAAATTATTTAAAAGGCCATCACGCAAGTTTCTTGGTCGTTTTTCTTGTGATGAAACAGCTTTCCGAATAAGCGTTAGATTAAAAAAAATAAGTGATGACTATTCAAAAGTACTTCAACGTAAGTTTATTTGAATAAAGAATTTTCTGTTCCTCACAAACATCTGTTTTAATAAATTTTTGAAAATCTTGATTCTGACCTTTGGTGATGAGGAGACGATTGCTGTCGACTTTTCTCTGATACACTTCGTTGCATTGGAGTGTGGTGATGACCTGAGAGAAACAATAGATTTATCATCACCTCCGTCAAATTAATGTCTAAAATTATATGATTTAGTGCCGATTAATATACAACTGGAGAGGTTTAAATTAAAAATTATAAAACAAATAGAAGAAATAGACAAGAAATTGAATTTATTACCCGGTGGTGATTTCTGACAAGTATATTGGAAAGTGTTTGTGTCCCAAAGATCGCTCTGCACCACAATAAAGTTTTCTTTCTTTCGTTTTTCTGAATCTCGTCTCTGACCTGAATTTGAACACAAAATATTGTCCTTATAGTAAATTTTTGGATAATTAGTACATAAATGAACAAGTTTACTTACAAGCTTTTCTTCTCTCCATAGAAGAATAGTCGTGATCTATATCTAATATATCTTCTGGTTCTTGTTTTGGTTTTAAAGGTGGTGGATCTCGTTCTTGTCCTGAAATTTTGTGTAAAGAATACAAATTTGTAACATTATATTGATATTGAATAAAGATATACAACACTACTAACACTCTTATTTAAAAAAATGTGGAGCACATAGCGTATATTATAAAAGTAAGTAAGTAAGATGGCGAAGTGTCAGTCTACAGTTGTCATCATCATCATCATCTCAGCCTGGAAGACGTCCACGACTGAACAAAGGCCTCCCCCAAGGATCTCCACGATGATCGGTCCTGCGCTGCTCGGATCCAGTGCCTTCCAGCAATCTTGACCAGATCGTCGGTCCACCTTGCTGGAGGCCTTCCCACGCTACGCCTTCCGGTCCACGGTCGCCACTCGAGTTGTAATGTTTAATAATTCAGTGTATTGATCATGACCCATTTAAATTGACAAATATGCCCAAACAGAAGCAATATAAACGTGTCTTATCTACAATGTTCTATTTGTTGCAGAGAATATGAAGAGATTGTAAAATAAATATCAAATCCTTGTTTCTAAGTTTGTACTATATTATATAATTTTTATCAATTATTTATAATATATCAGGAACCCTAACTGGGACAGACAGAGTTGATATCTAGTCCTTCCTTACTGCTTGCTTAAATATCTATTGGAGAAGATATAGAAGATATAAGTCCTACTGATGGGACTTTTTCCATAGACGCAACATAACTTTAGGTACAACATTCTAAGTTGATATTACTAGTCCTTTCTTACTGCTTGCTTAAATATCTATTGGAGACAATATAGAAGATATAAGTCCTACTGATGGGACTTTTTCCATAGATGCAACATAACTTTAGATACAATATCCTAAACAATCTAATGCAACTGAACTGGACAATAGGGAAAAAAATATAACACAATTTATCGTTCGAAAGCGGCTAAAATGTCGTATATGATAAATGGTTTATGGTTTGATTTGATTTGAACTGTTAATAATATTATAGAAACTTTTACGAACCTATAACTTTCCTCTCCATCCCTGGCGGAGGTTCAATATCATCTTGATCTACGGAGACATGCATCAAATCAGTCAGCAGCGCGCCTTGACTTAAACTAGACATACGACGGTGTCCGCGGGACTGTGGCTTATGTTCTCGAGATGGCGTCGTCTTTGTCGATATTGATTCTTGATTTTTCACAACCTTCTTTTGAAGTTCCGGTGTCTAGAATTGATTAATCAAAGAAATATTTAATTTATCATGAAAATGTTGCCCCCTATCAATAGTTGATAAATAGAAAGATCATTCTAACGAAAGTTGTCCCACATAGAGTTTGGCATTACGAGACCACTAATGCAGAACTTTCTTCTTGATTAATCATCGGCTCTTTAAGCTAAGTGGCCGGACCAGCAATAGAGAAAATTGTCAACGATCCCAATCTCACTTAGCTTAATAATAATAATAATATCTCAGGACAATTCACACAGCGCCCTCTAGTCCCAAGCTAAGCAGAGCTTGTGTTATGGTTACGAGACAACTGATATAAATACATGGGTACATTTTTTATGTAATTAAATACATATTATACATAGAAAACACCCAGACCGATACAAACAATCAAACTCATGAATACAAATGTTTGTACCGTGCGAGGAATCGAACCCACGACCATTGGATAGTAAAACGGTGTGCTAAACCACTAGACCACAGAGGCTGTCAAACTTGTCAAGCTTGAGGCGAGACTTCGCATTGCTTTGTGTGTTCTACCGAATATTTATTTATTTATTTATTTATTTATTTAGGAAGATTAACGGTGTATATACCAGAAGAATTGTTTGACATGATGCCCACGGCTACCTTTTCAGAACAACTTCGTCGCGCGTACGCTTAAATTGTGGAATGAACTACTTTCCGACGTTTTTTTCAGAAACTAGAGCATGGGGTTTTACAAAAAGGGTATATTAAGATTTCTTAAGGGCCGGCGATGCGCAGTCGAAACCTCCGTTGTTTCAGGCGTCCATAGACTAAGGTAACCATATATCATCAGGCGGATATACGTTTGTTTTCCATCATCGTAGTATTTCCTACTCCTGCTGTGATGTATTAACCTAATCGCCTATTACAATATCCAGAGGAAAAGAAGTATTGATAATTATTTTACTCTCTAACCATGTGAAGATCTGTATTTTTGGACCTATAAAATTTCATTAACGTACATAGTTTAGTGTAATGGAATGTGATGGCACCTTGTTAATTTTTGGCGGAGCTGCTTTCGTATACATCGGCTCTTGAATCTTAGCTGGTACAGACTTAGCAGTGGGGGTGTCACTAAGCTTCAGTGCTGTTACAGTCTTTGTTTCAGCTTTCGCTGGTTCTGTTTGTACTTTTGTTCCTGGTTTTGGCATTGGTTCTGAAGGCTCCTGCAAAGACGATTGTTTTTTTAGAATCATATAGACAATGTTTAACATCTGTTGTAGGTTTAATAATTTCTCCATTAAATAATAGAGGTATTTCATGTTTAAATTGATTTATTGTATGGAATGAGATGGAAAAATCGAGAAGTTAATAAAGAAAATTAAAGAACTCTGTCCAAGGAAATAGCAGGTAATATAGATGATGAATATTACTATTTACCTCAGCAGTCCATCCGTATGGTAGTTTCGCCAGTTGGTCCTTCTCAGGAACGGCCTTTGATGTTGGAGGACTAGTGTAGTCAAGATGATTCTTAAAGGAGACATTCTTAGTTTGCTCCTTCTTGGGTTCCTTTGACGGAATTTCTTTTATGGGCTCAGGGGGTGCTGATGGTTTTAACCTGGTAACGTATAGAAAAAACTATTGATACTTGCAGTTTTTGTTAAAGGGGAATAAAAAAAATATTATTGTTTATTTACTTACTTTAGACAACTAATGGGACATATTATATATACCGTATAATATATATACACACCGACTAACACAGACATAAATAATAATACATAAATATAAATGGTTACGAATTTATTTAACATCTGTTTGCTAGTTCCACTTAGCAGTTGATTATTTTGACACTGTTACAAACACCGTGATCAAGGTGACTCAACCAAAAATCTTTTTAATCAATTAACACTCTATACCATATATTACAGATGAACTACATTGGCCTATGAATATCTGTATAGCTCAGAAATTTCACGAGCATATCTCCGATCTACTACCAAAGTATTGGTATTTACTCATTATATTTTAAAGTATAAGATCTGTTATTGGCATACCGTCCAACTGACGATAAATTAGAAGAAACAATAAGTTAATTAAAGATATACTTCTCTGAAGACTGATTCTGCAAATTGATGTATTCAGCTTCAGCACCCGCTGATGCACTTAAACTGCACACTGATGTTATATCACTTGTTTCTGGAAATAGATAACGAATTATTCATAAGGACTATTGACTTTCTAACTAATCGGAGTCAAGCAGCTGGGTCAACGGATACAAAATCTGCTATTTATAAAAATATCTGGTAAACGACTGGTAGAGTCAACTGGAGACTAAAAATTGGGGTATTTGTTGATCCACGTAAAAGTTTAACAAAGCAATACCAGCTGTATAGAACAGAAATGTTCTGTTTAGAGACCTGAGATCAAGACCTAATTTCAGATCTTTTCTCATTAAAATAAAAGTTAATATTGTTATTTTTAAACTTTCGTCTTTAATACACATCATCATTATATAGAATAAAATAAAGTCGCTGTCGCTGTCTGTCCCTATGTATGCTTAAATCTTCAAAACTACACAACGGATTTTGAAGTGGTTTTTTTAATAGATAGAGTGATTCAAGAGGAACGTTTATATATATAATACATGTATATCCGTGCGAAGCCGAGTCGAGTAGTTAATTATTTATATAGTTAACCGGATCTTAACATAAATAATTTTACGGTAATTAGTAGGTACTAATTCATATTGTTCCTTACATTTTAACAACTGTTTTGCGATTCTATTTGATAATTTACGCTACTCCTCAACAAGATCATGCTTGTTACCGTTAATTACAGGTATCATATAACAGGACTCATCACCTGGATGACTGATATTCTCCTTGGGAACAGGTAACCTCGTTCTTTGTGTGGCTGGAGATCTGGAGTCGCCGCGCGTTGACGATTCAGAGCCAGCATCACTGCCCAGTTTACTCAACAGCATCTATAAGTAAATTTGTTACACCGTCTTCTTTATAGCTGTATTAGTTTACTTTAAATTATTTTTTTACATAATAGTTTCTTCTAATCTTTATTCAAATAATCTTAATACATATAAGCTTTTTGATTTTTTATACTACTACATATTCAGAAAGGACTCATCACAAGAAGAACGAGCGAAAAACTTGCTTGTTTTAAGATATTTGTGGATATAAATCGCCAAACATCAAAATTGAAAACAGTACTATTAGCACGTGGACCCCATAAATATTCAGATCGGAAACTTGACCATCGCTACTGGATATGTTACGACCAACTCCATTAGTGACCAAACTTCCCGAAGAGTCAACACCAGGCTTACAAATTACATCCAAACTCTATTAATTTCCTGATGATATCTCGTTTAGAGGCGAAACACTTGTACCCAAATATGATCACAATTATTCCGACATAGTAAAAGTTATTTATTCAGTAACAATTTACATTGTGTTTGAAATTTTACAATTTTTCCTGATAATATATAAATCAACTCTTAAAGTCTGTTCCAACAGAAGAGAATGCGAGCTGCCCTCAAAAAGTTTCCAATTGTGTATTGTCTTTAAACTATTAGGCTTCATAATACTATTCTAAAAGAAACTCATTAGACGTATTGTCATGGGTAGTAACAATACCTGCAGCTCGTTCTCCTTGGCCTGCAGCGTCCTGCGGTAGCGGTTGTTGTACTGGCGCAGCTCCTTGAGGCGGCGCTCCAGCTCGGGCCCCGGCGAGCGGCACTCGTGCGTGGACGCGGGCCGCAGCGTGGCGCGGATGCGGGTCGGGGCCGCGCCCGGCTGACCGTTGCGGCGCAGTTCCAAGAGCTACGCACAAGTACACACACTTTATCACACAGGTCGTCAGACGAACTTCTTAGCATTCCGTGGATTCACGGTGCGATTCACGGACAGGCTCAGTGGTCTAGTGGTTTACACTTTACTAACAGATGGTCGCGGGTTCGATTCTTCTCACGGTACAAATATTTGTATTCATATGTATGATTGTTTGTATCGGTCTGGGTGTTTTCTAAGTATAATATGTATTTATTTACAAAAAAAAATGTATCCATGTATTTATATCAGTTGTCTAATACCCATAACACAAGCTCTGCTTAGTCCAAACTAATCCCAAGATTAGATGGCGCTGTGTGAAATCTCCTGAAATATTATTATTATTGTTCCAGGTCCATCAAAGATAAACTCCGAGCAGTTCCCGGAACTTTTGGCCGGGGTGTCGATGTTAAGGGGGGGTTGTTTAACACTCAAATTTGCCGTGTTTGTATCTCTCCCTGCCTAGCCAAAACTAGTAAAAACCTGCAGCATCTAGTCTAGAACATACTACAGTTCTAGACAGGCCAAGAATTTTTAGATGACTGTAGAGAAATGTTGTACCTCTGGCTCCCAGCGACCTCTAATAAATGTATTTATTTATTTTTATTACATGGTGTTTAGGTATATCTATTTCCTATGTTACAGTAATCTGTAACAGTACTACACATATGTACGTATTGTACTTAAATAATATCGTATTTAGATCACGAAATACGGACTTTAACGGTTTTATTATGGATAACTCAATAATTACTGGTCAGATCTTGATGTAATTGATATAGGACCAGAACAACAAGAAGAATTTTTAAATAAAAACAATTCACACAGCGCCATCTAGACCCAAATTAAGCAGAGATTGAGTTATGGGTACACTGTTATTAATACATTCCTATTCCACTCAGTAACTCAAAGGTTGACTGGAAGAAATCCCTCTTTTTGGGATAAGCCCGCCATTTCACGCATTTATTTTTTAAGTCCATTGTATGGTTTTATTTATAACTATCTACTCGCCCCGGCTTCGCACGGGTGTACATGTATTATATATGTTAAGGTTTAAATAGATGATAAGTGTGAAACAATAGTGTTTGCATTCAACGCCAATAGATGGCGCTGTAACAAAATTGAAACGCGCTAATGTTTCGTTTTATTGATTTCTCATATGTTATTTGTAATATTTTTTAACTCCCCCTCCGATCGATCCCCCGTCTAATTTAAACGGGGATCGAAATTACGACGGCCTTAGCCGAGGTTCGAACCCCTAGTGGTGCCCTCAGACTAAAGTCGTATCCGTCGGGCAGGAGTTGGCCTTCAGCCGCTCCAAAAGTCCTCCCGCGGGTTTGGAGTGCCATCTGCACTCGCCCCATATCGTCCGGTGAAGCTGTAAAGGCCAGCTACGGCCAACAGCATTATAGTCCGAAAAAAAAAATTTTGTACCTGTACCTGTATTTGAAACCGACCAATAAACCTTATATACACGAGTGTAGTGTTTTGGTTTATAGTACCCTTAGGACCTTGTGGTTTTAACATATATATAAACCTTCCTCTTGAATCACTCTATCTATTATAAAAACCGCTTCAAAATCCGTTGGGTAGTTTTAAAGATTTAAGCATACATAGGGACGGACAGCGACAGTGACTTTGTTTTAGAAATAGAAATAAAATATTTCTTTATTCAAATAAACTCATTACAAGCACTTTTGAATAGTCATATATAGATTCTACCACTCATTCGGAATGCAGATTCATCACAAGAAGAATGAGCAAGGAACTTGTGTGTTGCTCTTTCTAATAGATGGTTTTTATATAAATAATTACAGTATAACAAGTAAGAGGCATGCGATAATCAACATGGAAATCGCTACGCACTCATTATTAGTGTAATCAGATAATATTGTCAGTGCTATGGATGTTTTTCTATAAAAACATTATTTTCGTTAACGAATTCTTCAATTTTATAGTAAGTTTTTTTGCAAAGGAACTGTTTTGTCTTTTTCCTGGCAGATTTATAACATCTAATGATTTTATTGTACAATAAAGTATTACAACAAGTAAACATTTTGTAAAAACGTACATAATATATGTATGTCCTAAACCCATAGATCACCGAAGTCGTCAAATATTAAACATTTTAGTGATATTATAATAATGGTTAGAAACTTACTCTGGGCGAAGGGAATTGTTAGTAATGTGGATCCATACCATGTCAGGTTGACCTCCACGCGGTTCCCCCTGGAAACCGTCGTGATAAATTCACGATGGGCTAACTGACCTGACCTCATGTTCATCTTATCATCCTCCACTGGTGCCCCGCCAGCGTAAACCGTTAGCGCAGGCGGGTGCACCATTCTATTATCATCTACTAAAATAATAAAAAACTTACTTTGGGCACGAATACCAAACACAAGGTGGCTGTTGTGCAAAATATAATGAAGATGGCGATCAGGACGAACAGCGCGTCTTTGTGGTCAGACAGAACCTGGAACAATACACAGTTTCAGTGTTAATTGACAAAGAACTGCCAGGAACAGAAGGTTCTCGACTTAACAGGAAGTAGTCTTCAGTCAGTCAGCAGAACAAATATATAGAAAGGTTCTGGACTTACAGTGTAAGTATTCTTCATTCAATCAATAAAAACTAGAACGACAGATAGACATGAAACAACTGCCAAGAATAGAAGCTTCTCGACTACACAGTAAGAAATCCTCAGTCAGTCAGCAGAACAAACAGTCAGAACGACAAACAGACAAACATTAGTTAAATCAATGTTTTGATATAAATACCGTACATACGTTTAATGAACAGCTATTGGTTTAACATTGGAAACAGACACTTCAATTTTATTTACTAGCTGTTCCCCCGACTTCATCCGCGTGGAATTTAACTTACTTTTACTAAAACAAAAGTAGCCTAAGTTACTCCTTATTACATCAGCTACCTGCCAATAAAAGTCCCGTCAAAATCCGTCCAGCCATTTCAAAGATTATCTAGAACAAACAGACAGACAGACAAAAATTGTAAAAAATGTTATTTTGATGTATGTACCGTATTTATTCATTCATATGCATGTAGTAAAAACCGGTTATTTCAATATTACAAACAGACACTCCAATTGTATTTATATGTATAGATGTATAGATAAACAAAGATGTAGATGAAATGAAAACAGTTAGTTACGAGTGCAATAGCAGCGCCCATGATGCACATGATGAGAACGTTGTACACCGAGAGGCCGATGTGCTTGGAGTCGTTCAGAGCAGGGATGGACACGTGGCGCGTCTCCCACGCCAGGAATGCACCGAACACCTACAACCAAACATCAACAGTCACAATTAATATAAGAGTAGTGATATGAATATAGTTTTTAATTACTAGCTGTCCCGGCAAACGTCGATTTGCCATATAAATTAATAACGCTATAAAAATATAGGGGTTGGTGATAGAAGGGTGAAAATTTAGGGTTGTATGTATTTTTCAATCCTAAATAGTAATAAAATGAAAATTAAATATGTCGATAAAATAAAAATGTTTATTTCGGGGTGGACATCCCTTACCACTTAGGGGTATGAAAAAAAAATAGTAGCCAATTCTCAGACCTACTGAATATGCATATAAAATTTCATAAAAATCGATCAAGCCGTTTCGGAGGAGTATGGTAACTAACATTGTGACACGAGAATTTTATATATAAGACTAGCTTTTGCCCGCGGCTTCGCTCGCGTAAATTTATCCCCTTAGGGGTGGAATTTATCAAAATTCTTTCTTAGGAGAGCCTGAAAAAAAAATTGCTTATCAGCAGAATGAGCCTATAAAATCTCTTATACGAGAAACGCGATTTCAAGACGAATCTTGTGTAGAGTAGAAAAGTAATCAAATTAAACTAAAATTGACTGCAATTTTTACATACCAAAAGCAGGCCTTTGTAAGCGTAAATGATGCCGATGAAAATGGTCATCCGCTCTGATTGGCAGTACTCGTTCTCTTGGACTATCACTATATCCTCGCTCGACGGATGTGGCTGCAAGAAAAGTATAAACTCTACATAGCATAGAAGATTTAGTAATATATCCGTCTGGATATCTTCCACGTACATTTTTTGAATAGAAATGGCCAATTTAACAGACTGATTTGAAAGCAGACTTAAAATCATCACAAGAAGGACAAAGGGTAATATTCTTGGTAATTTCGACTGTTGGAAACTGTTTTACAAACCTTTTTTATTGTCTAATAGCTGTAAACGCTAAAAATCGCGTGGATTTTTTTTTTCTAAAATAAAAGTAGCCTAAGTTACTTATTACATCAGCTACCTGCCAATAAAAGTCCCGTCAAAATTGGTCCAGCCATTCTAGAGATTATCCGGAACAAAGAGACCGACAGACAGAAAGACAAAAGATGTAAAAAATGTTATTTTGGTATATGTACCGTACTTATATTCATATGCATGTATTAAAAAACGGTTATTTCAATATTACCAACAGACACTCCAATTTTATGTATAGATATTTTTTATAAAAACTATATTATTTTTACATGTGGCATAAGTAAGTCATTACACGTGACATATGCGTAGCAATGAGGATAATATTTTAAGGAAGGTGTTACATATCAATGTGGATGGTTATAAGGGTAGAGATAGGCCGAAAAAGAGATGGATGGACTGTGTGAAAGATTATATGGTAAGAAAGGAAGTAAATAACGCGATGACTGCGAACAGGGATGAATGGAAGAGAAAAACATTACGTCGACCACAAATAAATGGAATAAGGAAGAAGCAGATGATGATAAGTAAGTCATTACAATATTTTACAACTACATCGGTGCCGTTTTCTATGCTCGCCTCGTCTTGATCTCCTTCCTTCACACCGACGCTAATATAGCGTTTTATTTCAAATTTACCTTCTCTTACATGTTATATTTATACTTAATTCTCATAGTCGCCTCTGACGGCAACCTCGAGATGTTATGATAGTTACATATCGACAGAAGAAAGCAAAATTGTCGAAAAATCCAATTTTACAAAATTCTTTTAGACATTTTTATTTCCAAAATTCATAACTCGTATATTTATAGAGATTGTTTAAATTCATAATGAAAATTGATTAATTACATACCAATTTTCAACTTTCTATCTCGATAAATATATGAATTTTGAAACAGTTTTTTGGCTCTGTAATATTGGGGTTTCAAGTTAAGACAATTTCTCTCTCTTTCGTTGAAATTATCAAATGAATAATAATATTTACATAAGGTTCCATTTGCTTAGTGGCTCTATAGAACGGGTCCGAGATCTGCCAAGTAGTCATGATGGCCAAGTCTACGCAGAGCAGTACACCAACCACCATGAAGAGCTGGTAATCCTTTATTACCTGCAATATTCAGCAATAGATAACAATGAATAGAAAATAAAATATAAACTACCAATCACAGAAAGCAGTACCAATTTTTAATCATTATTATAACACATTAAATTGATTTGACAATATTTGATTTGGAAAAGCACATTATCTACTTATTGTTCTGGTTTATCTTGGACACGGGAACAAAATCGATTTTTTTAGAATTTAAACAAATTCTGTAACTCTATTCTATTTTATTGTTCATAATATTTTGGTGGTCCTTCATAATTTCTAAAATTAGACATTTTTAAATTAAAACAAGAATATACTTAATTAGACAAGACTGAAAGCAATAAGTTCGTCTTTGGGAAAATACAGACAAAAATATAGCATCTATACTAGCTATATCACAATAATAATAATCTCAGGACAATTCACACAGCGCCATCTAGACCCAAGTTAAGCTAGTTAAAGCTTGTGTTATAGGTACTAGATAACTGATACATATACATAGATATTTTTTTATGTAAATATATACATATTATACATAGAAAAAACCCAGACCGAAACAAACAATTATACTTATTTATAACCTAAATTATGTTAAGTGTAAAATGGTGTTAAGCTCCTGGCTTAAACCGCAAAGTTATCATAGTATTGAAGACTTGTTTACAATAATTCAGTAAATATACATATATATAATAATATTATAAATCATGTTTAACTTATGAACAGTTTGTACATCCATAATATACATAACATGCTTATACTTATATAACTTAGTATATAAGTAATATTAGCGGTTGTAAATAAATACCAAAGGGACATGTGTATTAGTATTTGTATTAACAGACTAATTTTATTGTATGTACCGTGAATCATTAATAAATATTCATCAAGGAATAATTTCGCAAGTCCACAGTCATAGTAGTGATTTACTTTATGTTCATTCACTGTACACACAATATTAGTACTACCCACAATAAGTTGATATTGTCGGTAGTAATGTGTACGTTGGAAAAAACACTAATTTTGGATTTAACATTCTTTGTCATGAGTTTGATATATGTGTGTGTATATATACACTAGTATACATAATACTATATATATATGGTACACTAGTAATTACTAAGTTGATTCACGAATTTAAGAAAATATATATAAATGTCATTGGGAGAATAAGACACAGGCACGGCCTAGTTTAGATGCTAGTGGCACAAATTTAAACCAATGATTTGTCTTACATGATATTCTAACATAATAATTATAAATCACGTACTTGTATAGGAATGTGTCTATTGTAGTCTTGGGATAGATACAATATTTTATAATAATGTCAGAAGTACCATTTTTACATCCATCTATTATAAAACAAATTTTGTACTATTTACTTGTCTTTTTGCTAACTGATGAATTCTCCATAGTCTTGTGTTGTGAAAACCTTGTGAAGTATAGATACATAATGCGTAAATTTTTAACATCCGTTTAAAAACCACCTATGATAACTCAATATTAATTATGTCCCCATAAAAGGCCTATGTAACGTGAATTCGTATTAATATTGTAAATAAGTAGGTACTTAGTAAACTGTTGCGTTCTGAATCATGAGTAGTATTATATTAAGATGCACTTGTTCATTACCAACTACACATATGTATATAGTTTTATATAAAAGTGTATTTATTTTTATTTTACATTTTTAAATTTTTGTGATATTAATAATAAATAATAAAAAATAAATACCATCAAATTGTTTGTGCCGTGCCATCGGTCGTAAAGCGGTGTGCTAGACCGTTAGATCACCGAGGTCGTCGAATAACATAAGCTTTGTGGACTATTTCCTTTGTTTGTACAGACATTTTATACGTAAGGGTTTTAAGAAATACAAACCTTCTTATTTAACTTGACATCAGTAAAGATGGAATGGACACGCCAAGTTTTGGAGAACATAGCACCGAACGCAAGACTGAATCCTGCCATCAGGAGCCAAGCTCTGGCAGTGCAGATGTATGGAAACGCAGCTGTAAATACATAGATATAAATAATTGCCTGCCTCGAAAAAGATACGGCTCATAACATCAGGTTTCAGTGTATCGTACATTTTGGTTGTGTTAGACATTCAGGATATCAATCGGTACAAGTATATTGGGATTGTGCAATTTATTTTAAAAGTTGTTTAAGTAGTAAGTAGCATTTTATTGATAGGTGTTTAGGTTCATAGAGTAATTTCAACAATTGTGGATTGAACCATGCTCAGCAATGACATTAGCCAAAATTTCAAGTAACGATGCAATGCAACTTAGAAGTATTAAGAAAGAAATGCAAACAAGAACGACGATAAAGGCAATCCGAAATAGTTTATATAAAATGACGATGCAAAATAAGACATTGGAGAAGAAAAGACACGATAGTAAAGCGTTTAACATGATAGAGCTCAGAATATAGAATACATGAAACCTTCACATACCACCCACCGACAAAAGCTTCGCATTTGAAGCTAAAGGAAAAACAAACCAAAACTTGGAAACATGCTGTCGACTCCTGTGACCTAGAACATGACCTAGGTCTTTCTCAGAATCAAAGATCTAAACTAAGAAGAGACAGGGGGTGTAAAAAGTTCCCAAAGTTTGGTTGATGGGATCCACATTGCCCAGGGTTGAAGCTCAAGCTTTGGGGACGGGATCAAGCTCTTTTACCTCCTCGTGGCGTTTCCTGAGAAAGACCTAAGAATCAATGAATTTGATGAGATCAAATGACGATATAGCGTGATTGATGAAGTGCTAGCGCCATGCCAATTGAAGTGCTTTGTAATATTAATTTTAGTTTTCGTTTTAGTCCTTGTTTTATTGATCATTAATGAATTTGATGTTAGAAAAGTATTTTATTGTTTGAAATGAAGTAAAAGTATGAGAGATGAGTATATGTTACCTTCGATCCAACATTATAGGTAGAGAAAACATAAAGATATTGATGATAATGCGGTAAAGGATCGACAGTAGACACAAATGGATGCGGTGTGAGGTGGTGAATGACTACATACCTATACTGCTGAGGCTCGAGTCCAGGCCGAGGAAGATCACGCTCAGGTACGTAAGCATGCACCCCACGATAATGAGGTTGTTCAAATGTGGCGATGACATTTTTATATACCTTAAAAATTTGTAAAACTTAAATTAACAAAGTAAAGAAATGTTGATTAATAACTGTCAAAACGAAAGCCTTTCCATGAAAAGACAAGAAATTTACTATTTCTATTAAATAGTCTCAGAAAGTAGATAATTGTTGGTTCTTAACTAAGACGAGTTATTGTGGCAGATGGGGCGAAGTGCATGGCAATAGTTGTTCATGCAAGGGATTTTCATTTAATGTTAGACATAGACACCTATATAAGTATACATTGTAAATGAACTGAATAAAAAAAATATATATTCAATTGAGTTTCTTGCCAGTTCTCAATTGGATCTATATACTGTAATATAAAATTATAATGTAAAAAATTTGACGTTCATAAGCGGCTAAAATGTACTACTATATAATGAATAAATTATTTTTGAATTTGAGAATTAGAATAGAATAGAAAATATCAAAAATCATTTATTAAAATAAACTTAATTTAAGCACTTCTGAATAGTCATAACAATTTTTTTTATTTACCGCTCGTTCGGAAAGCTGTCTCATCACAAGAAGAATGAGCAAGAAACTTGTGTGTTGCTCTTTCAAATAATCCTTGTAAGTTTACATTTACAAGTCGAAACGTGTGAACACAAACTACCAACCAGCACTAATTTATTAGGGTCAAATTTATATTTGTATATTTATATATACAATAAGATTAAATCAGTCGTAGTGATAAGAGCAGACCAGTCCCTATAAGGAGTATACGCTATATTGCCATCTCTTTAGCCTCGTCGACTAATGTCATATGTATTGATATTTAATTTCCAACCTCTGATTCCTATAATGTATATTCATAGCGAGGAAACCAGTAGCAAGCAATATTCCCAGGATGGAACACGACACCAGCACCGAGTAGATAGTGATGTTCACCTGGGTGTGCTCGATCAACCGAAGTGTCCGATCTTTAGGCGGATTCCTGAAATAGAATATTAGAAAAAAATATATAATCATTACACATCACAGCTAGTGTTAGCACATGAAACATCTTTTTGTATAAAAGCCACTTTTACTTAATAAAAACTTCTTTTCTTTATGTCAAATTAATTTTATTAATTTTAAATGCATTATAATTAGATCACTGTTAGAAACACAAACAGCTAGTTATCAAGTTATCAGAGTTATTTCTCTACGTCATAATTTATAAGAAGTGAGAAGATCAAGAACGGTTATTTAGATATCTTGCTTCATCCACTATTTTAACTGATCTCAGCCCAATATTTTTGATACTTCCCTCAAACCATAATTTTACTTTGCTGTAATACTAAACAATTAGAAACTATATGAATATATTTATTCTGAGACGGAAATGCGTAATAATACATTCCTTGTGACTACGGCTACCTTCCTTTTTTACGCAATACATAAAAGTGTGAAAAATAAATCAGGATTTTAAAAAATATATTAACAGTTTCATAATCTTAATATTGTAGTTCTAAAATGTTATGTACTCACTTTCCAATCCACTTGAACGGTTCCCAGCTACCTAAATCGAGGTGGTCCCTTTCAGCGCAGTACTCGCCCACCTTCACCTCCCCGACTTCGTCACCTTGAAACTGCTTTAGCAAAATGGATGCTTTTCGCTCGTTGTCATAGAACCGCACTGGACCCTGGAAAAGAGCGGCCTTACTATTTGCTTCGAAAATTTTGGTGTATTTCCTATCCTTCCAGATTGGACAGAGGAAATAAGATCGGACAGATTCATACTGTATGTATAACATTTTTTTATGTAATCACGCATATTATAAAAATAAAGATTCTGGAATCTTGAAGGCGTATGATAGTCCTCATGATACCATCGATGTGTATCAATTTTATTAACATTTCTAAAACTCTTAGACGAACATGCTTCATGTGATATATGTTCTATGATAGATCGCCAGCAATATGGCCTAACAAGATTAATAGTTAAAAATTTTTCAAGTCCTTTCAGCTAAATTGGAATGCAGTATCGCGTACTTGCATCAAACTCGCTAGGTTTAGAATCCTTTGAAATAATATCTCAGGACAACTCACACAGCGCCATCTAGTCCAAAAACTAAGCAGAGCTTGTATTGTGGAGCTCTACGTATGACATAAGTAACACTGACCGTGACTCCTTCAAACGTCACGTTGCTGAGTGCGTCGAGGAACAGCTGCTCCCATTCTTTGTCTCTGTCTCTGTATTCTGAAATCCTGGCGCCACCGTCTGTCTCGCCATTGCCCAAATGCCTGTCAAAGCATTTATATTTATATACTTCGTCCGCGTGGAATTTATTTATTTATTTATTCTTTATTGCACTTTTAAAAATTGTACAATTTGGCGTCTGCCATATGGCATTCTACCAGCTAGGTAAGAACAGCCATTGGGAAAGGACCCTAATATAGCCATACATAAATATAAATATATACAATAATACATAATAATATATTTAATAAAATTTTATACACCAATAAAATTAAAAAAAAAAGAAATATATTATGACAACAATAGATAATTAAGAACCGTTTTGTTCATTCAAGAGATAATCAAAAATAAAACAGGCTTTATTTTTATTTATCTTTATTTTCTAAAATAAAAGTAGCCTAAGTTACTCCTTATTACATCAGCTACCTGCCAATAAAAGTCCCGTCAAAATCGGTCCAGCCATATCAGTCCAGTCGGAAAAAAACGGTTATTTTGAATATTACAAACAGACACTCTAATTTTATTTATATGTATAGATTACTATTATTTTATTGTCTCTTATATATGTTGATATTGTCTCGTATAGACAATAAATCATTGTGTAACATCGAGTGCTCACTACGAGACGTATCTTTTATTTATCATCCCCGTAGATTATCAATTATCATTATCAACAAGTGTAGGAGCACCCCCACATCTATACATATAAATAAAATTGAAATGTCTGTTTGTAATATTGAAATCATGAATATGAATATAAATACGGTACATACACCAAAATAACATTTTTTACAATTTTTGTCTGTCTGTCTGTCTGTTTGTTCCGGCTAATCTCTGAAATGGCTGGAACGATTTTGTCGGGACTTTTTTTGGCATGTAGCTAATGTAATAAGGAGTAACTTAGGCTACTTTTATTTTAGAAAAATGAAGTTAAATTCCACGCGGACGAGGTCGCGGGTACAGCTAGTCATTCATAAAATTAATTTCTAAATATTATACAAATTGGCTTTCAATTATCAGTCATAGTTAATCAAGCAGTTTTAACAAACAGGCCGCAACACTTACCGTCGTATGTATATCCATGAAATCTTGAATACTCGATGCCTCTTCTTCTGTCATACTCCACTTGATAATCTTTTGCGGACTGCAATTCAATAATAATAATAATTTATTTGCTCAAAAACACAGTATAATTAAAGCATAGTACATATCATGTGTTATGCCATGACGATCTCGGTGGTCTAGCGGTTTAGCACACCGCTTTACGTCCGATGGTCGCGGGTTCGATTCCTCGCACGGCACAAATATGTGTATTCATTAGTATGACTGTTTGTATTGGTCTGGGTATTTTGTATGTATTTACGAAAAAAAAATTATCTATGTATATGTATCAGTTATCTAGTACCCATAACACAAGCTTTAGCTAGCTTAACTTGGGTCTAGATGGCGCTGTGTGAATTGTTCTGAGATTATTATTATTATAGTAATGGCATGCAAAAATAGTATTGTTTAAAAATTATACATAATTAACTATACAGAGAGAAATAGTAATAATGTTACACATCAGAGTTCACATCAATATTGTAGAAAAAATCCGATATTTTAAAAAGATGTTAAGATTTTTTTTTTCGGGCTACTCTAATGCTGTTCGCCGCAGCTGGCCTTTACAGCTTGACCGGACGATAGGGGGCGAGTGCAGATGGCACTCCAAACCCGTGGAAGGACTTATGGAGTGGCTGAAGGCCAACTCCCGCCTGACGGATACGACTTTAGTCTGAGGGAACCCCTAGTTCGAACCTCGGCTCAGGCCGTCATAATTTCGATCCCCGTTTGAATTGGATGGATCGATCGGAGGGGATGATGTTAAGGGAAGGTAGTGTGTGTTTAGTACTAATGAAGTAACCAATGTAAAAGTGACCGTCGGTGCGGTGGTAAAAGTGACCGTCGGCATCATGTCGAACAATTCCTCAGGACACAGTCCGTTGTATAATCTGTAGAACACACAAAGCGCAGCGAGTCTCGCCTCAAGCTATACATACATACATGTATTTTTTATAATAAGATACTTAAATTTTTTCCTATAATCGATGTTCTGTGAGGAGCTCGTGTCTGTATTTATATAGGACATTCTACTCACGCTTATGAACGTCAAATTGTTTTTAATATTTTTTCCCTACCGTACATAATACAATGTCAAAGCAGTTAAAGTAATACTGACAATTAAAAAAAATCACGGCATAGATGATATTTTTTTTATTATGATAATGAAATGGTGTACCCGTCTGCGCTAACGATTTACGCTGGCGGGGCACCAGTGGAGGATAAGATGAACATGAGGTCAGGTCAGTTAGCCCATCGTGATAAATTCACCGGGAATTTATCACGATGGTTTCCAGAGAGAAACGCGTGGAGGTCGACCTGCCATGGTACATTGCTAGTAATGGGGTCATGAGTCCATATTACTAACAATGCCCTTTCCCCCCCGGCATAGATGATAGAATATACTTTATTTGTAACAGACAGTAAAGAAAAAGACATAAACAATATATTAAAGGACATGTATAGTTACAATAAGGCGGTCTTATTTCTGAAAGCGGTATCACACTACATTTTATATATTTTATTGAGTTCCCGATATTTCCCGTATTTTTTCCCTAATTGTACGTACAAATAATCATCATCATCATCATCGCAGCCCGGAAGACGTCCACTGCTGGACATAGGCCTCCCCCAAAGATCTCCACGACGATCGGTCCTGGGCTGCTCGCATCCAATGCCTTCCAGCGATCTTGACCAGATCGTCGGTCCACCTTGCTGGAGGCCTTCCCACGCTGCGTCTTCCGGTCCGTGGTCGCCACTCGAGGACTTTACTGCCCCAATGGCCATCTGTCCTACGAGCTATGTGCCCTGCCCATTGCCAGTTCTGAGTCGCAATTCTCCCGGCTATGTCGGTCACTCTGGTTCTTCTGCGGATCTCCTCATTTCTGATTCGATCACGCAGAGTAACTCCGAGCATAGCCCTCTCCATTGCCCTCTGAGTGACTCTGAGCTTGTTGATGGAGCCCATAGTTAGAGACCACGTCTCTGTTCCGTAAGTCATCACTGGCAACACACAATGGTCGTAAACCTTCGTCTTGAGACACTGCGGAAATTTGGACGAAAAGATATATCGGAGCTTACAAATAATGGATGTGTGAAATTTAAAACAGTAATACTAACAATCCCAGACACAGTCGTCTCCCCGGTGGTGGAGAGTGGCAGCAGGTCGGTGAGTATGGCTGTGTCCAGCGCCGTGGTGAGGTCCCTCTTGGAACAAGGCGCGCGCCTCATCCACCATTTGTTGCTGTACGTTCCCAGCAATAGCCATGTGTATGCTCTACCGTACATTTCTAACCTGAAAATATGTTGTAATTGGAAATTATCTATACATACATATAAATAAAATTGAAGTGTCTGTTTGAAATATTGAAATAACCGTTTTTTACTATATACATATGAATATAAATACGGTACATACACATTTTCTACAATTTTTGTCTGTCTGTCTGTCTGACTGTTTGCTCCGGCTAATCTCTGAAATGGCAAGAGCGATTTTGACGGGACTTTTATTGGCAGGTAGCTGATGTAATAAGAAGTAATTTAGGCTATTTTTATCACGCGGATGAAGTCGCTGATACAGCTACTTTTTAAATATAATTGCTGGTAAATTGTCACTAATGTTATATGTATGTAGTAGGTAGTGCTCGCTAAATTATAGTTTACCAGCTATGAGTGGTAATCAATACCAATAATAAATAAAACACCTATTTCTTTAATATATCATCATCATCATCATCGCGGAAGACGTCCACTGCTGGACATAGCGGTTTTTTTAATAAATCTCCACGACGATCGATTCTAGCGCTGCTTTATATATAACACATGTACATCCAGCGATCTTGACCAGATCTTTAATATATAAATTGATTAAATTGCCAGAGCCGTTTTAACACGTTGAAGACCCTTCTCACCAAGGGACCGGTTTTTTTATTGTTAATTACGTATATTATTTTTTAAATATGTTTTTAGTGTACAATAATTCGAGGTAGACATTATTTAACTAAATTCATTTCAATTAAAATGCCCACGGGTGAGCACTCGGTACCAATGTGTAAATTTACTTTCGTTGCGGAGTCACCCACTGGAGGGCATGCGATCTTTAACCTGTTGAGATTTACAGAATAATAATAATCTTTAATTTTTATTTTATCTTTTCTTAATTTTATTATTTGCACTACCGTGACCCACACAACACTTCCTGTGTCACGCTGTTTTGTGTAGACTGGAAGAGATCTCTTTTAGAGATAAGTCCTTCTTTGTAAACAAAACTTATACAGTATATTCAAAACTTGTATTTAAAAGTGCAATAATATATATATATATATATATATATATATATATATAATTTCTCCCAATGAATAAAGTATTTTCTTAAGTTGAATCTTATTTCATTGTAATTTATCCAGACATTTTTACCGTAAACCTTACCACACAAAAGGACTAAGAGATTTCGCACCATCACAATTTTAAGATTCTATTGTATGTAAAGATGATATGTAAAGTTTTAAACTTTTATATTGTTTAACCAATTGTTAGAAATATTGAGTTCAGTTCTTACTTGTAGGCTTCACAAAATATTTTAACTGCCCACGTCTCGTTGAAGTTGCCCAGGATGATTCTGACGTCCTTCTCTTTTAATTTAGCTAGCGCTGTCCTCACTTCAGTGGCGAAGCTTTGTGTTTCTTCTATCAAGAATCCATTGGTATCCAAATCGGCGAGTAGCCTGTTATGAGCCTATTGTAACAAGAAACAATATCTTACTAATATCTAAATATATATAAATCAAAGGTACTACGACATAGTGATCTATCAACGCACAGCCCAAACCACTGGACGGATCGGGCTGAAATTATGATAGATGTTATGACGTAGGCATTCGCTAAGAAAGGATTTTGATTAATTAAATCCCCAAATAAAATTGGGGATATTTTTTTTAAACCGATCGGGCTGAGACTGCATGCATAAAGCTACTATGACGTAGGCATCCCCTAAGAAAGGATTTTGATAAATTCCACCCCTAAGGGGATAAAAGCTAGTTTACTATAAACTCTAAAGGAAAGATGAATGTTTGTTACAATTGCATGCAAAAACGGATTTTAATGAAACTTTACAGTAATATAGCTTATACATCAGAATAACACATCCTTACTAATATTATAAATGCGAAAGTAACTCTGTCTCTCTGTCTGTCTGTCTCGCTATCGAACTAAAACTACTGAACCGATTCAAATGAAATTTAGTATACAGATAGTCTAGACCCTGAGAAAGGACATACTTTTTAAGGCGAAAAAAGAGTTGTTAGGGGTTGAAAGGGAAGATGCAAGGTTGTATGGAAGTATCACCTTTTAAAGCTAAATGCTTGAAACTTATTTTTTAGGCTGTTGACTAAATGTAAATAAATATGACATTCAAAATTTCAAAATCTATAAATTTTACCCTTAAGGGGGTAAAATAAAATAGGGGATGAAATGGAAATTCCTCATTCCACGCGGACAAACTTGCGGGCACATCTAGTAGGCTATAAATTTTATGCGAGAGCAAAATTAGTTTAAAATCATGGGAACACATTTGAAAAGTCCTGTAAAGGAAAATTTTGGATTTTTGTTGTTTATACTTACCAAGGCATATCTTGGTTCATTCTGGTAGATCGTTCCTACTCTCGTCCAGTTAAAATGTTGGAGCAATCGGATCCTGGGCACGTTGAAAGCATTCTCCGAGGGGACGATGCGGAAGAAGTTGGGAAAAGCTTCTTTCGTGAACATCGGATGGGTGTCCGCGTAGGACAGCTGAAGATGAAAACAGAAAGGTTACACCTATTTGGTGTACACAAATTTTTAATTATTTAATTAAAAAAACAGTTAAATGTAATGTCAAATCCTGAGTTAGGTACTAAACTGGGTAAATATTTAATTGAATTAGTGCTAATTGGTGGCTTGTATTCACACACTTAAACTTATAAATGTAAAGTAAGAATAAAATTATTTAAAAGAGGAACACGCAAGTTTCTTGCTCGTTCTTCTTGTGATGAGACAGCTTTCCGAATGAGCGGTAGATTAAAAAATGTAATGACTATTCAACAGTGCTTCAATGTAAGTTTATTTGAATAAATTATTTTCTATTCTATTCTATTAACAATGTAGAGCATGAAGACTCTTGGTATTCTATATCAATTAAAATACTGCAGTGTGTAAAAACTATTAAAGCGAAATCGATTAAAACATTCATTGCATAGTTTTTTATATGTACAATTAGTTGTACCCGCAACTGCGTCCGCGTGGAATTTATCTTTATTTTCTAAAATAAAAGTAGCCTACGTCACTCCTTATTACTTCAGCTACCTGCCAATTAAAGTCTCGTGAAAATCGGTTCAGCCATTTCAGAGATTAGCCCGAACAAACAGACAGACAGATAAAAATTGTAAATAATGTTATTTTGGTGTATGTACCGTATTTATATTCATATGCATGTAGTAAAAGTCGGTTCATTTTATTTATATATATAGATTATAATATATATATATGTGTGAAGAGAAGTCCGAGTACCAAAAACTTCCACAATTCCAAATAGACGTTATAATAAATTAACAATAATAACCTGGACAATCAACACTACGCCATCTAGACCCAAGCTAAATGGAGCTTGTGTTATGGATACTAAATAACTGGAATATATACAGCTTTTTTTTCGGACTACTCTAATGCTGTTAGAATAGAATAGAATAGAAAATCATTTATTCAAATAAACTTACATTGAAGCACTTTTGAATAGTCATAACAATAATTTTTTTAAGACTATTAAATATTTTTTTTAAAATATCCTCCATCACCCCTTCAAAAACATTGTAATCACTATTAGGAGGCCTGTACACACATATAAGGATATAATTTTCAGTTCTATACAAGATAATTCTATACAACACTCAATAGAAAGCAACAATGTCCAAAATATTATTTCCAATTATCATAGGAACTGACTTATGGAGCAGCTGACAACGTTATAATTATTTAAATTGAACATCATACTCTCTCTTTAAGCCAATGTTCTGTGAAACAGACATTATCAATATTATACTTTTCTAAAAATAATTGTATAATTAACTCGCTGACGGGTACGATGAACAATTATTAATTCTGAGGACACCGTCATAGTATTTATGTCACAAATATTAATAGAATTATTTGTTCGATTTTTATGTCGGCTCAGGCCGTCGTAACATTTTATTTTTAGATGATTTAGAGAGATACATTGTATCTTTTGTCCCCGTTAAAAAATGTAAAAATGTCACTATGACGGTCAACATATGTAGATGGTTCAATTTTTTTATGAAGGAGAGATATATACACATTGCAGGTTGCAGCGCTCCAAAAAATAACACAACTGCATATTGCATTTTTATGATTTAATTTTATTTATTATTTGTGTAAATGATGCTGAGCACGGGCCTATTCAGTAGATGCTTCGACAGACATACACATCCGCACACACGTAATTTGTAATTTTGTATGTTTGCAAATTTGTATTTTTTTAAATCTGTAACAATAAATGGTAAATGTATTTTTTTTTTGTAATTGTTGTAATGTTAGAGTTTTTTTTTGTTTGTTTAATGTGTGTTTTAGTTTAATTTTGACATCTACTGAATAAATATCATTTGGCCTTCATCTTCAAATGATGTTATAATACTTGACGACCTCGGTGGTCTAGCGGTCTAGCACACAGCTTTAAGTCCGATGGTCATGCTGAGCACGGACCTTGGATTCCTACGCACACACGCGCACAAACATTTGTATTCAATAAATGAGTATGATTATTTGTTTTTTTTTGTTTGTTTATGTGTGTTTGGGTGTTTTCTATGTATAATATGTATGTATTACGAAAAAAAAATAGTACACATAACACGAGCTTTAGCTAGCCTAACTTGGGTCTAGATGGTGCTGTGTGAATTGTCGTGAGATTATTATATTTATTGTTATTATTATAATACATGGGGAAAATGTGGAGTTACAATATTTGGATAAAATGTAAATCACCTGTGTAAGATGCCAGTGCTTGGACGCCTTCGCAATTGGATCAGTGACGTGGGTACACGCCGCGCCGAACAGCATCAGCTTGTGAGGCCCGCTGTGCATCATATCGAAGAATGACTTAACACCCACCGCAGCATTGCACTGCAACAATAACATTATATATACGAATTATGTTATCTGACCCCGCAAACGTTGATTTGCGTTATAAATTAAAATTACTACTAAAAAAATAGGGGTTGGTGATGGAAGGGTGAAAATTTAGGGTTGTTAAATTATAAAAAAATTAAAAATAAATTATTTATTGGTGATATATATTAAAAATTAAGTGTTGTATTTTTAGATAGTAGACCATTCTCAGACCTACTGAATATGCATATAAAAATCGGTCAAACCATTTTGGAGGAGTATGATAACTAACATTGTGACACGAGACTTTTATATATCACTAGCTGTCCCGGCAAACGTTGTTTTGCCATATAAATTAATAACGCTATAAAAAATAAAAAAAAAATTTAGGGTTGTATGTATTTTTTAATGACACATAATAAGAAAATATAAATAAAAATTTTGCCCAAAAAATAAAAAAATAATGTTAGGGGTGGACAACCCTTATCACTTAGGGTATGAAAAATAGATAGTAGCCGATTCTCAGACCTGAATAATATAAAATGTTAAAAATCGGTCAAGTCGTTTCGATTAACTCACGAGACTTTTATAATATCAGCTGTCCCGGCAAACGTTGTTTTGCAATATGGACTACCCCTAACATTTAATGAAAAATAGATTTCATTCTCAGAGGTGTCACAAAATTTCATGAGAATCGGTCAAGCCATTTCGGAGGAGTATGGGAACGAAAACTGTGACACGAGAATTTTATATTTAAGATTTATATTATTAACCGGGTCTTAACACGAATAATTTTATGACAAATAAAGGTATTTACCTCTCTCGACGTTTCGACTAGGTTGCACTAGCCGTGGTCACGAGCTGATAGTCAGCTCTATCTATACATATAAATAAAATTGGAGTGTCTGTTTGTAATATTGAAATGACCGTTTTTTACTACATGCAAAACATTTGTCTGTCTGTCTGTCGGTCTGTTTGTTCCGGCTAATCAATGGACCGATTTTAACGGGACTTTTTTTGGCAGGTATCTGATGTAATAGGGAGTAACTTAGGCTACTTTTATTTTAGAATATTAAAGTTAAATTCCACGCGGACGATGCCGCGGGAACAGCTAGTTTGCTATAAAATTAGTTCGTGTTAAGACCCGGTTAATATATGTACATAGTTATGGGACAATTAAAAGAAGTGTTATGCATCATACCTCGGTGTCGTTCCACCACATGTGCAGCCTGTAGTTCCTGAGCACGGAGTCGTGCTCGTTCACGTGGTCCAGCGCCAACTTCACGCTCGGCATCACGCCTCGACCTACAGCAGTTTTCACACACATTTGGTACCACGCATCGTAAAGCAACCACTTCGGGAGTTGATAGTATTGTATACACACTATGTATATAATACTGCTGTGACTTGGCCTACAATAAAATAGGGTACAAATGTTCACTTTGATGAGAACTATGTAGTTGATCCGGATTTTGCCTTATAAATTAATATCGCTATTAAAAAATTGGGGTTGGTAATAGAGGATAAAAATTTAACGTTTTATGTATTTGAACACATGAAAAAAGTTAAAATTAAAATAATGTCCAAAAATAATAAATAATTTTTAGAGTAGCCATCCATTTAATTTAGGGGTATTTTCACATAAAATTTCGTACAAACACGGTTTTTTTATGTATGATAATGGAATGGTGCACCCGCCTGTGCTAACGGTTTACGCTGGTGGGGCACCAGTGGAGGCAAAAATAATTTGAAAAAGTCAGGTCAGTGATGCCCATCGTGACAAATTCACCAAGAATTCTATCTTTTATATGACTGGAGAACCGCGTGATTTTATCTACCTAAAAAACAAACATTGCTAGAAATATAGATCATCAGTCCACATTATAATAATCACATTTATAAGAAACCGTTAATAAAATTAATCTTTACTAGTAATCTATAGCTTTAATTTCGAAATACGATATTGTCATAGAGAATCGGAATAATTTTGTTTAAATACTTTCTCTGCGATATCATGTTTACGTCAATTTGGATCAATTATTCACGACATTATGAAAGTTTCTAATACGAGTAACCATTAATAAATCACGAGCCGTCAATCTACAGTTCGGACTTGGCCTCCTCAACTACCCCACGGTCCTCTGAGGACTGTAATAATGTTACCGTAACTTGGAACAAATCCTTACTAATAAATACTAAAGTAACTCTGTCTGTCTCGCTTTCACGTCAAAACTACTGAACCGATTTAAATGAAATTTGGTACACAGATAGTTTAGACCCTGAGAAAGGACATAGGCTACTTTTTAATGCCAAAAAGGGTTGTAAGGGGGTAAAAGAGGGGATGATAGGTTTACGGCAGAATCGTCATTTTTGAAGCTAGAAGCTTGAAACTTATTTTTGAGGCTACTGATTAAATACAATTAGGTAAATATGACATTCAAAGTTTGTAAAAATATTACTCTTAAGGGGTAATAAATTTAACCTATAGGGTATTGAAGTTTGTACGGAAAATCGTTCATTTTAATTGGCTTTTTTGGGTTAGGTTGGGTTAGTTACTGAATATTTTTTCTTTGTTTGGTCGAGGTGACTATAACACGCGGACGAAGTCGCGGGCGCAGCTAGTAGCGATATAATTACTGTAGATAGATGATTGTAGACTCCATAATAACTGGCTACTGAATCAATATTACAATTTAGTTTATATTTGCAACCATTACTAAAATAATTAACTTTAAGACAATACTAAATAACTATATATAGTTAGTAATATATATTTTTTAATATAACAGCACTATGTACCCACATGTGTTATATATAGTAGTTTTTTTTATTATATATTAATTTTATTTAACTTTATTTTTCTAAAATTTTTTCTCTAAAATAAAAGTAGCCTAAGTTTCTCCTGCGTTAGTTAGTTAGTTAAGTTACTACATCAGCTACCTGTCAAAAAAAGTCCCGTCAGAATCGGTTCAGTCATTTCAAAGATTAGCCGGAACAAACAGACAGATTAAGAAGCGTTTTTTTTATAGACAGAGTGCTTCAAGAGGAAGGTTTATATGTATAATACATGTACACCCAGGCGAAGCCGGGGCGAGTAGCTAGTAATAATACAAATAGAAATTCAGTTGTCATAAAAATAAATTGCTGTTCGTTAGTCTCGCTAAAACTCGAGAACGGCTGAACTGATTTGGCTAATTTTAGTCATGAAATATTCGTGGAAGTCCAGAGGAGGAAGTGAAAACAACAATTATATTGTCCCATACAAAATTGTTGCAGATACCTGACAGGGCGACACCAAACAGGGTTAAGTTTTTGTACTTTATGTTGGGCTAAAAAGGACTTGTATCCAGAGCCGTAAAATATTGATACATAAAAAAAAAATGCGTTCAGAAATTTATTCCGTAACTAAACTTCAAAAAACCTTTGATATATTTAATTTTGAGGCGGACCGGAGTTTTCGGGGTTAGTATGTATTATAATGTTATCTGTGGTATAAGATAAGAAGGGATTCGGGCTGCTATGACAGGCTTGTTAAATAGAGCTTATTTATCGTCGCTAGGCAACGGTGTTGCCGCGCGCTATCCGTAGATTCTCCACAAAATTGTGGCACGGCAATGATAGTACATAATATATAACATTAGCAATTTATCGGCAGTAAATTTAGACAATAAGTAGCTGTACCAGCGACATTGCTACAGAAAAATAACCTAAATGACAGTCATTGTTCAGCCTAAAAAATTACTCAAAATCGATTACTTGAATGACGAGCGTGCATGGCAATAGTTTTCATGTTCGGGATTTTCATTTAATGTTAGACATAGACACCTATATAAATATACATTGTAAATAAACTGGCTTTTTAAAAAAAGTAATTCAATTGAGTTTCTTGCCAGTTCTTCTCAATTGGATCTATATACCGAACTGGACGGTAGGGAAAAAAATTATAATGTAAAAACTTGACGTTCATAAGTGGCTAAAAAGTCCTACATGAATAAATGATTTTTGAATTTGAATTAGCAATGGGAAACAACATGAAATGGTGCGTATCCTGTTTGACAATGGCGCACAGCGTTCTTACATCAGAGAAGATATTGTTAAACGTCTCAACATCCCTAGTATTGGTAACGAAGTTTTAAATCATACTCTATTTGGTGATGTACAAATATTGTCTATGATATAAATATTAGTAGTGTAGATAAATCATTTAATTTTAAATTATCTGCATTAGGACAATCTTGTATATGTCGTAACATTCCTAAATATAATAAATATGATATTCAAGACTTACTTACTAGGCACAACATAACACTAACAGACACCAATCAAACTGTCTAACCATTGAATATATATTGGTGTTTTTTTCATTTGATTTGGTAACAAATCGTGCAAACTTATTCGCGTTGTGTTGTTCAACCCCCAAAAATACTTAACAATTTTAGTACTAGTCTAGTAATAGGTTTACATAAAAACACTATTTGAACATTTGAGGGGTGTGCTTTTCACAGCACAGCCAATGAAACCGGGGCTCCAGTTTGGAAATTGCTACTTTCATTTCTTTTTATAAGTCTACTAGCTGTCCCGGCAAACGTTGTTTTGCCTTAAAATAAAAATAAAAAATTAGGGGTGGACTATCCCTAACATTTAGGGGGATGATTGAGCTGTACCTGTTCTTAATTAGTGCAGAAAAGCAACGTGACATCGACACGTGACGTCCCGACGTACAGTTTGGGAAACCCTGATATATGGTATGGTGTGATCGATTAAAAGTAAATAGATACCAGTGTTGGAATTCTCCACACCCTTGCCGAATGGAAAGAAGCCGGCGATGTACACGTCGGTCCGCCGGTTCAGGATCGCGTCCAGGTTCGGCTTCTGCGGCAGACCCTGGCTGAAGCTCAGCAGCGCGAAGAAGATTAACAGCATGGTGGATTCTGAAAAAAAGTCTGATTATTGCATGGTATTTATGATCAAAAAATGTACTTGTCTAACAGACAGACAGAAATCATCCTCCATTTGCCCCACCAGCGTATACCGTTAGAGCAGGCGGGTGCACCATTCAGAGCACTCAGAGCACTTACTTACTTTTATCTCAAGATAATTAACACAGCGCCATCTAGTCCCAAGCTAAGCAGAGCTTGTGTTATGGGTACTAGACAACTGATATATACATAGATGCATTTTTTTTGGTAATAAATACATATTATACATAGTAAACACTCAGACCGATAAAACAATCATACTCATGAATACAAATGTTTGTACCGTGCGAGGAATCGAACCCACTATATTTAAAATTACGAAAATGCCTTTCTGTCTGTCTATTTATCCGAAAACCACAATGATCACAATATACTGTAACGCTCCTGGTACTGTAGCTGATCTAATATATATTCACCATGCTGTTTCTCGCGACTTTGCTTGCGTAAATTAACAATAAAAAAAATATTCTGTCTTGACTTGGTTAGGCTGACAAACAAACAAGATCACTATTGCATTTATAACGTGCACTAGCTACTCGCCCCGGCTTCGCACGGTTGTACATGTATTATATATAGAAACCCTCTTCTTGAATCACTCTATTAAAAAAAACCGTTTCAAAAACGTTTCAACGTTTCAACCGTTGCGTAGTTTTAAAGATTTAAGCATACATAAGGACGGACAGACAGCGACAGCGAGTTTATTTTATACTATATAATGTTAAGAATTAGAGTAGAGTACAGATGAAGATAGTAAATCTACAAATACGTACCTGCTATTATTATATCCCGCAGTAACATATCACAAATGCCATGTGCTATATTAAGAACCCTCGGTCTCCACCCCACCGAGCTACCTCATAATCATTTATCACATTTCCACAAATAACTCATTTATTTAATTCATATTTATGACTATCAGCACATTATAACAGTTTTTTTCCTTTAAAAATCAACCAAATCTTATAAAATCACATTCAAACCACATTTTTGCTGAAACCCTCTGTCCAGGCCTTCCAAGCACCTGAAAACCTCAGAACTGCCATATTCATTATTCAAAACTCAGAGTAGACTTTATTACAATTGCATAAAAACTATAATTGTATGTCGGATAGTCCTAGAAACAATTTTATATTCCGTACCAAAGGATTTAAGGCAAATAATTGGTATGCGAATTTCGACTTTAAACACAGATGGTGGAAAGTACAATATTGAGTTTGTAGTAAAAAAATCTTGAGATGTTTCACAGTAGAGAAGTATGAGCAAACAAGCAATATTAGGCTTTGACGGTGTAGATCGATATAGGGAGGGTTACATGTTTAGTGATGGGCTGCTTATAGAATGTTACGGTTTTTATATCGATAGAAATATATCGATATCGATTGAAGCATCCACCAAATATCTATATTTAATTCTAAAATCAGCGTTCAAACTCTTGCTAACTAAGATGTGAGTGCGTTCGATCCCTCGCAGGTACAAAAATTTGTATTAATGAGTATGATTGTTTGTATCGGTCTGGGTATTTTCTATGTATAATATGTATGTATTTACGAAAAAAAACATATCTATGTATTACTGGAGCGGGAACACAACTACTATTTTAATAAAAACCAAATACTAGTAAAAATGTGTATTCTTCCCAAAAGGGCTCACAGCAAGAAGTAACAAAACAATATGTTAGTTAAAAGTGACATATAAAAAATAGACATAAAAAATATAAAGTTTATAAAAAGAATGGTAGACAAGCTGCCAGTAACACTGTATTTGTGTCAGTTGTCTAGTACCCATAACACAAGCTTTAGGCAGCTTGATTTGGGCCTAGATGGCGCTGTGTGAATTGTACTGAGATTATTTATTTATTATAATACAAACTCTTAAGATATGTCAAATATACCATCAGTTTAGAATACCTCAAGCTAAGAAGAACTGACAAGAAACTCAGCCCTTATTCTTTTCAAATAAGCTTGTACATGATAACAAATATACACATTAATTTTTAAATTAAATTAATGAGAATATAGTGTCAGCATATGGTATAGCGTTTTAGTCAAAAGGAAATAATTTAATCTGTAGCCGTAGTAGTAAAGTCAATATCCACAATACAAATTCAAATTCAATAATCATTTATTCATACATTACATAGAACATTTTAGTCGCTTATGAACGTAATTTTTTTTTATTAGGTATAAGTTTTGCCCTACCGTCCAGTTTAGTATATAGATCCAATTGAGAAGAACTGGCAAGAAACTCAATTGAATTACTTTTTTTAAAGCCAGTTTATGTATATGTGTCTATGTCTAACATTAAATTAAAATCCTGTGCATGAACATCTATTGCCATGCACGCTCGTCATTCAAGTAATCGTTTAGTGAGTAAATAGGCTTAATCTTAATTAGCCATCTCTATAAATTTTCACTATCCACAGATAATAAATTTGTCAAACTACAGACTTGTGTCACATTTGTAAAAAAAAAGTAGCGCCATTATCGACAATCGATTATTGTAGTTGAACATCCCTATTCAACCGGCCGGGTCGCATGCGCGGACGGGGTGTGACCATGCCGACCCTCGGCCCCGTTGGAGGAAGCTGAAACATGTCCGACCTACATCCCGGTAGACGTCTCCTCGAACCTTCCGGCAAAACGAAATATACTGTTGATACTGTTTATCTAAACAACTGAGCTATTGTACTGTTGCTAGTTCTTGCTTTTATAATCATTAATGTGCTTCTGACATGAGTATGTGGACAGGCATATATATATAGAATTACTAGTTGTTATACTGAGACTTCGTCTGTTTTATTTTAGGCAGAATGTCTTTTAGAAAACCGCTCCTCTCCGTTCTTAGAATAAAACCTATCTTCAGAAAAAAAATCTTAAACATTTATTCACCCGTTTTGTAGTAAAAGCTGCAGACAGACAATTTTGGCGTTGACATTTTACTATGGATAAAATAAACAAGCGATGCGCCCTGGCTTCGCACGATACGAATACAATTATAGTTAGGTTTAATAAATCTATGTTATTTACAGATTCACCTACATAAGTCAGATGAATTGGAATGAAATTACATTTCTTTCATTCTTATTATATCTTTAAAGATAAGTTCAAGATCTTTATAGGAAATTCTCCTTTGGAGGGAAGCGATACTGTTGATCCCTATCGAGACAACTTAGGCTTCCCAAAGAGTAATCTTGGAATTCGGACACACAAATGTTGTACCCGATAAAAAAAAGTAGTTTGTAGTCAGTTAAGGACCAGAATATATATAAGATTCAAAACAACTACGATTTGACTCCTAATTATGATTATTTGTTATAATATATGATACTCGATTTTAATGCTACGGCATAGAGTCTATTTTTGATAATCATTGTCATTTCAGGTCTAACCTAAAATGACAGTCAATTGTCAGATTGCCATACGAGTCTACATGCGTTCCGTTTACGGAATTATCGTTAAATTAAATCAATGAAGTATATATATTATTATTTGCAAAAATACTATGAAAAGACAAAACGTGTAACAACTTTTAATTTTATATACCGCTGTATAGAATTAAATACAAATTAAATATGTAATTTGTGCTACAAATTAATATTGTACGTTCCTTTACACGTGAATGACACAAAACTTCAAAAGTTCCACATAAGCGAAGACGATGTGACAACACTGTCTGCCAGAATACGTGGCCCGACGTTTTTCATTGCGGTCTCTTGTTTATATTTTTTATTGCAATATTTTGTTAAGATTTCCTCTTAAAGCCGTAAGTATCTGAAATATATGAAATATTTGTTATTATTGTTCATGTAAAGTGTTAGTTAGTGTTTAGATACATGTTTAATTACCAAATAAATTTGATGTGCCAGATGTCACTCACTAACTAGATTGTGTTACTTTTAAATCAAATTTTCTCGTATTTTTACTATTACCGTTCAAATATTACGCAATTCTAAGTGTACAGTTTGTATTGTTTGTGCTATTTCGTCTGGTAACGTGAGTATTGTGCTGTTTTTTGGAGAAAATGTTTTGGTATGTCAAACTGATTATTTCCCAATTAGAAACGAGTTTCGATCTTACCGCTCGTTAAATACACTCGTCATAATTTCTGGACACATATCAATACAACACGTAAGAATGACGTGAATAAATTCTTCATCTAAACTGCTGTGAAGCTCTAATTGCTTATCAGAACTGGTGACACAATTCCCGCTGTTTTGTGATAACTTATTTTGTAACATATTTTATAACCGAGAGCATCTATAGGTAATAATAAATATCATTACATAGTATAAAACAAAATCGCTGTCCCTGTCTGTCTGTCCCTATGTATGCTTAAATCTTTAAAACTATACAACGGATTTTGAAGTGTTTTTTTTAATAGATTGAGTGATTCAATAGGAAGGTTACATATAAACCTTACAAATATACATGTACACCCATGCGAAGCTAACAAAACTAAATAATTGAAATAGGTCAGGTCAATAGCTTAAAGAATTTCCTCAAAATTATGGTTTTACTGTGTCTACTTTAATAGCTTGATGGGAATTCATTATATGGGTAATATAATATTGTTAAACAGCTTGTACTTAGTGCCAATTTATAAATTTCACAATTTATAAAGACTGTTTCTTCTGTAGATGATGTACATACAAATAATACAACTTGTATGCAATATAGGCTTGTTTTATTTCGGGCAATTAAAATGCCCTAGTTGAATATAGAGTGTTAGAAGTAATGGTAAAAACAAATGTTAATAATGTTGTCTTGGTATGGATATCAACTCCAAAACATGTTGGGTTTTTGTTTAAATGAATGATAATGGAATGATGCACTCGTCTGTGCTAACGGTTTATGCTGGTGGGGCACCAGTGGAGGATGATATGTTGAGGTCAGGTCAGTTAGGGCATCATGTAAAATTCATCAAGAATTTATCATAATGGTTTTCAGGGGGAACCGTGTGGAGGTCAACCTCTCATGGTATATTGCTAGCAATAAGATCATTACTAACAATCCCCTTTTCTCCTGCGCTAATGGTTTATGTAGGTGCAGCACCAGTGAAGATGAGGTCAAGTTTGTTAGGCCTTTGTGATGATTTCACCAGGAATTTGTCACTATGGTTTCAATGAAACATGTGGAGGTTGACCTGACATTGTAATTATAGTGTCTTGTGTGTGCCATCTACCTCTTCTGTGTATGTTAGTCCTATCTTGCAGGTTGTCTGTAAGAAATTGCTTATAGCGATAAGACTGCCTTTTGTTCATGATTTTCTATTTATGATTTTTATTATTTCTTATATATATATACATATATATATTTATTATATCTGCCTTTTTACGGGGGTAATATATTCAAACACGCAGGCCTTAGCCAAGCATGGATGAGTTATGTGATGAAGATAGAAATTTTCTTATTTATTATTATTATTTTTTTTTTTTTTCAAAAAATTATTATTATTATTATTATTGTATATTGCTAGTAATGGGATCATTAGTTCACATTATTAACAATCCCCATTCTCCATAACATGTTATGTATTAACAATGTTTGAATGTCTTGTTCAATTCAGTATGTACATATTAGAGATGAAACAGATAGCACTTTGGCAGATACTGGATAGAATCATTTATTCAAATAAACTTACATTGAAGCACTTTTGAATAGTCATTACATTTTTTTAATCTACCACTTGTTCGGAAAGCTTTCTCATCACAAGAAGAACGAGCGAGAAACTTGCGTTTTGCTCTTTTAAATAATTTTATTATTACTTTACATTTTTAATTTGAAGCCTGTGAATACAAACTAGCAATTAGAACTAATTCAATTAAATACTCAAATAGAAAAAATATTGAATATATAACCAACTGGTTAAACAATTAATAAGAGGAAATCAGTCATAGTGATTAGAGCAGACCAGTCCCTACAAGCAGCACCCGTTCACGAGTATGACAGATGAGCCAGCTATCACTGCGCTCAACCATATTTTAGGGAGCCTAATGACTAGACTCCTGGCTATTTGGTCAACCACGTGGGCAAATAGCTGGGTATCCGGCCACCTGGTATCCAGTGGAACTTCACTAACAACGTTTTTTTTCTTTTGTATCTTGCAATCGGCTCAGCAAGCCTTTAACAGATTTATTGTGGGACTGGAATTTGTTGACGGGAAAGAACTGTACCTCCAGTGAGGAAACTGTCTCATCAGTGAATAAAATCCCTTAAGTCTTCTGCATTGCAATGGGTCTCATAGTGCTGTTGCAAGGATATTAGTATGCACCCCTATACGATCCCTAGCTAGCTAATAATGGAATGGTGCACTCACCTGCGCTAACGGTTTACGCTGGCGGGGCACCAGGTCAGGTCAGTTAGCCCATCGTGACAAATTCACCAAGAATTTATCACGATGTTTTCCAGGGAGAACCGCGTGGAGGTCAACCTGAGTGTACCATACATTACTAGCGAAATGATCATCAGTTCACATTACTAACAATCCCCTTTCCCTCCGACCAAGGATATTAAATATGTATATATATGTATTACTTTACAAAAAAAATTATATGATTTAACATGACTCTGTATTTGATTCCAGGTGATTCGGCTTAGAGATGATGAATCCGCAGTATTTGCCTCCAGGGCAAAATAATAATACACCAAATAATCCTCTTGGCTTCCCCCCCACATCGCAGGACTACAATGGTGTACAAAATGCAAATTTTTATAACCAACCACCAAACGGGCAACAATTGGCATCTAAACCCTTTGAACCAGCAGATGTGGCTAATAAAATGCAAAATATAAGCCTAAATGGCCCTCCAGGATATCCTCCATCTCAAATCCCCTCAGGACATTTACCACCTGGGCAGCTCCCAGGTGGTAATATCCATCCTAATTCAAACTTTGGTCCAGGTCAAGTTGCACCTGGGCAGCGACCAGTCGGCTTCCCTCCTGGTCGCCCGCCAGTTAGTGGCGCACCTCAACAATTACCACCATCAGGGCAAAAACCACCTCCATCATCAACTCCAGGACCAATACCTGGTTCCCATCCTCAGCAGAATTTCGGCCAGATTCCACCATCAAGCCAACCTAATTTTGATCAAAATAAGTCATTCCCAGCAGGACTAAATTTACAACAAGGGCCACCAATGTCTCAAGCTCCTCCCTTAAGTCAAGCTTCTCCCTTAAACCAAGGCCCTCCTTTGGGTCAAGCTTCACCCTTGGGCCAAGTTCCTCCCTTGAGTCAAGCGCCACCCTTGGGTCAAACTCCTCCCTTGGGCCAAGCTCAATCCATGGGGCAAGGCCTACCAGTGCCTCAAGGCGCACAAATATCTCAAGCTAATCAGCAGCCTGGAGTCTCTTCATCAATAGGCCAACAACCCCCAGGCCCTCCAGGTGGGCTCGGAATACGTCAAGGTCCTTCTGGACCAGGACAAATACCTCCACATTCACAATCTGCACTTCCTCAACAACCTAGATTACAACCAGGATTACCATCACAACCATCTCACGCTGTGAAACCAGGAATGCCTCCACATCCTCAGATACCTGGTCAACCACAGCCTGGCTTTCAACAACCAGGGTTGCCATCACAACCAGGGATTCTCCCACAATCAGGTGGTGTACCACCACCTGGAGTACCTTTACAACCAGGAGTACCCCCTCCAGTAGGATTCCCTTCGCAGCCTGGACAAGGTGTACAGCCTCCAGGCCCCCAGCAACCTGGACTACCACCACAACCTGGACTACCATCTCAACCTGGACTACCACCACAACCTGGACTACCATCCCAACCTGGACTACCGCCCCAACCTGGACTACCGCCCCAACCTGGATTACCATCCCAACCTGGACTACCATCCCAACCTGGACTACCACCCCAACCTGGACATGGATTGCCTGGACTGCAGAATAGACCAGGGATTCCACCACAGCCGGGCGCACCTGGGTTGCCTTCCCAGCCGAGTTTCCCGGGTCAGCCGGGTTTGCCCCAACCCGGGCACTTGCAGGGTCCGCCTGGCTTCAGTCAGCCCGGCCTGCCTCCGCAGCCTGGCCCACCGTCACAGCCCGGAGCCCAGCAGCAATACCAATCAATGCCTGGTCTGCCACATATGCCCCCACCGCTAGCACAGCAGAGACAGTACCCTGGAATGCCGCCCGTAAACCAACCAGGAAACCAGCCAGGATTTGGGCAGAGTGGACCACCAGCAAATGCTGGCTACCCAGGTGAGTCATTAATATCAGATAATATGTGTGTTGAAAGTACTTATAAATAGTAAGTTAGTTTAATATATACATATAAATAAAATTGGAGTGTCTGTTTGTAATATTTAAAGAACGGTTTTTTACTACATGCATACGAATATAAATACGGTACATGCACCAAAATATTAACATTTTTTACAATTTTTGTTTATTGTAATAAGGAGAATCTTAGGCAAGGCTATTTTTCTAAAATAAAAGTAGCCTAAGTTACTCCTTATTACATCAGCCATTTTAGAGATTAGCCGGAACAAACGGACAGACAGACAAAAATGGAAAAAAAATGGTATTTTAGTGCATGTACCGTATTTATATTCATGTGCATGTAGTAAAAAACGATTATTTCAATATTACAAACAGACATTCCAATTTTATTTATATGTATAGATTTACCCCCCACCCCCCTTGTAACCTCTCCCCCCATGTTTACGAAAACATATTTCAATTAATGTATTGTTTTTTTTAGCAAAGACAATGTGAGGGTTGACTTGAACGGCCCTATTTGGGTAAAATTTGTCTAAAGCATATAACTTATTGTTAGGCATGCCGCCGATGCCGGCGTCGTCGCAGCCCCAGCAGTCGGGCTACCCACCGTCGGGTCCGTACCCGGCGCAGTACCCGGGTCAGTTCCCGGCGCAGCAGCCCAGCTACCCGGGGCAATACCATCAGCCGCAACAGAAACAACTCGACCCGGACCAGATGCCCAGCCCGGTCAGTATTACTACTTGAACATTCAAAACTGTTTATTAAACATACTTCACATGTACAGTGGACTCCATATGAGGACTGAGGCTTTGAAGCCGGCTAGCGCAATGGAAACCCCAAGTAGCGCCCGTGACTTGCGACACGGGTGTAGGTTTAAAAGGCCCTTTTAGAATGCATTAACACTCACATTCACTACTTGCAGCTTCCCCCCAGGCCCAACTAGGACCGGGATAAACCCATTCCTAATACAATTCACTTTAGTATCCAAAACACAACCGGCACGCTCTGCGCTCGTCGACTGAATGCCGCGGCTCACCCAACGAAAGAGAATTATTTAACTACCGACCTCCGTATTTGTAGACCGAAGTCAGTGTAGTAGGAAGAGAAGCGGGGGTAATGGATATCTTATGACAAATAACTTAGTTCGGTCTATAAATACTAGATGGCGTTACTTACAATATTTATACATATATAATGTTATATACAATAATAATCCTTAGCTGGATAGGAACCCAACTGATTTTTTTTTTTAAATAATATACTATACTAGCTGTAACGGCAAACGTTGTTTTGCCTTAAAATAAAAAAAAATTAGGGGTGGACTACCCCTAACATTTAGGGGGATGAAAAATAGATGTTGGCCAATTATCGCTCACAAAATTACATGAGATTCGGTCAAGCAGTTTCGGAGGAGTATGCGAACGAAAACTGTGACACGAGAATTTTATATATAAGATATAATTAAAAAAAAAATCAAAAAATGAATCGCTAAATGTGTTGGTAAGCGCTAATCTCGAGAACTACTGAACCGATTTCGATAATTCTTTTTTTAGAATATTCCTTGAGGTACGAGGATGGTTCTTACGGAGAGAAAAATTTTAAAAATTGCCTTTAAATGCCTAAAAACAACGCTTTTCTCCCTTTTTTTTTATTTTTTATAAAGTTCAAGTGTAAGTAGAGAGGTTCCGGGAAGGCATGTCAATATTAGTCAAAAACAGATTGTCAGTGGTAAAATGTCACTTGAAATGTACATGTCTCATTGATGTGCATATATATAATATTACTATAAATGCCCTGAATAGCAGAATAAGTATTAAATAAACTAAAAAATTCAGCAGGCAGGGCAGCGTTCGGGAAGCTCCGATATATCTTTTCGTCCAAATTTCCGCAGTGTCTCAAGACGAAGGTTTACGACCAATGTGTGTTGCCAGTGATGACTTACGGAACAGAGACGTGGTCGCTAACTATGGGCCCCATCAACAAGCTCAGAGTCACTCAGAGGGCAATGGAGAGGGCTATGCTCGGAGTTACTCTGCGTGATCGAATCAGAAATGAGGAGATCCGCAGAAGAACCAGAGCGACCGACATAGCCCGAAGAATTGCGACTTTGAAGTGGCAATGGGCAGGGCACATAGCTCGTAGGACAGATGGCCGTTGGGGCAGTAAAGTCCTCGAGTGGCGACCACGGACCGGAAGACGCAGCGTGGGAAGGCCTCCAGCAAGGTGGACCGACGATCTGGTCAAGATCGCTAGAAGGCATTGGATGCGAGCAGCGCAGGACCGATCGTCGTGGAGATCTTCCGGCCGTCTTCCGGGCTGCGATGATGATGATGATGATGAAACTAAAAAATTAAAGAATCGACTATTAGGCGTTACGAAGTACACCGGGTCCGCTAGTATTTAATACAATTACAAGGTACTGGCTCTGTCCACAGATCCAGGTGATGGCCGACGACCAACAGAACCGCGGCGGAGTGTTCGTGACCAACGAGAAGGGGCTCGTGCCGCCCCTCGTCACCACAGACTTCATCGTCGACGACAAGGGCAACTCTAGTCAGTTCATTTTATTTTTATACCACATAGGAAATAGAAATAGAAATAATCTTTATTCAAATAAACTTAATATAAGCACTTTTTAATAGTCACATTTATTTTATTCTACCGCTCATTCGGAATGCAGACTTCACAATAAGAATGAGCAAGAAACTTGTGTGTTGCTCTTTTAAATAAATATTGTTTTAATTAGATTTACATTAACAGGGATTAGGCATGCGACAATCAACATAGAAACCGCTACGAACTTAATCTCCCTTAAGGTTTCTTAAGGGTCGGAACGGTTGTAAATTCACCAAGAATTTATCACGATGGGCTAACTGACCTGACCTCATGCTCATCTTAGCTCCTCCACTGGTGCCCCGCCAGGGTAAACCGTTAGCGCAGGCGGATGCACCATTTCATTGTCATCCATAAAAAAAAGCCCCTTACAACCCTTTTTACCAATAAAAAGTAGCCTATGACGTTTCCCAGGGATTAGACTATATGTATACCAAATTTTATTTACATCGGTTCAGTTTTGACGTGAAAGCAAGACAGACAGAGTTACTTTCGTTTTATAATACTCTATTATGTAGAATGTTGCTTGATATATAGTGTGTGATGTCCTGCAGGTCCTCGCTACATACGGAGCTCGTTGTACAGCGTGCCGGTGACGGCTGACCTGCTGAAGCAGACTGCGATGCCGTTCTGCCTCGTTGTAAGTTTTTTTTCGGACTACTCTAATGCTGTTGGCCGCAGCTGGCCTTTACAGCTTCACCGGACGACAGGGATGAGTGCAAATGGTACTCCAACCAGAGAACTTACAGAGCGCCTGAAAGCCAACTACCGCCTTGACGGATACGATTTTATTCTGAGGGCACCGTTAGGGGTTCGAACCTCGGCTGAGGACGTCGTAATTTCGATTCCCATTTGAGTGTGTATGGTGGAAGGTCATGTAAAGTGGCAAGAGCTCCACCGACAAGAGCGCGGCTCTGAAATTATGAATGAACGAATTAATAAAAACATAGAATTAGACATAAGTCGTAGTTAATTGTCGTAATTAAGTCTTTCTAAAAATAAAGCTATATATATTGCATACTAGCTGTTCCCGCGACTTCGTCCGCGTGGAAATTAACTTTATTTTTTTAAAATCAAAGATTTATTCTAAAATAAAAGTAGCCAAAGTTACTCCTTATTACATTAGCTATCTGTCCAAAAAAGCCACGTCAAAATTTGTCCAGCCATTCCAGAGATTAGCCGGAACAAACAAACCGACAGACAAACAGACAAAATTATAAAAAATGTTTTTTGGGTAGATGTATCGTATTTATATTCATACGCATGTAGTACAAAAAGGTTATTTCAATATTACAAACAGACACTCCAATTTTATTTATATGTATAGATGTAAGTTTCCAATGGGAAGTCACTCTATATGACAGCGTGACAGAACAGATCCGCTCATAGTTCTAGGACTAAACACAAAATATATATATTTTCAGAACAAAAAACACATAGACATACCTTCGATTCATACACTGTTTACTTTAAAATAAAAAATATAAAGAAATTAAACTGCATATAAATTTACAGACAGTAGTGAATTTATACACATACATATACACTGTTTTGCTTAAAAGACAAAAAACTATAAAGTAATGAGTCTCTCAAACTTCAAATAAATATATAGGCACAGTACCTCACACACTGCATATTCTGGGCAAAAGTTGCTGACTCAGCTGATGCTGTGACCGTAACCTTTACACATACGCTGCACATCGCTGTTTTTCAGTTTTTTTTATAAAGAAATGCACCGTCACTCATTTATTTTGACCCTTAAGAAACCTCAACACGTCTTCCTTGATTTTGTAAAGAAAGACGCTGTCACTTGTTTTACGCATTGCTGGTCCTTAAGAAACCTCAACCTCCCCGTCTTGATAAGCTTCATGCTGTAGTGTTGTATTGTGGTTGCAAGATCTCCCCGATGGCGGAGACTGTGGGCCCGGAGCCGGAGCCCCCACTGCTGGACTTCGCGGCGCTCACTAACTCCCCGGCGATGGGTCCGGTGCGGTGCTCCCGCTGCAAGGCCTACATGTGCCCCAACATGAAGTTCGTGGACGCGGGCAGGCATTTCAAGTGCGCCTTCTGCAAGGCCACTACTGAAGGTCAGACACACTAACTTTGTTCTTAATGGGAATCTGGAATTCAATGGCTGAGTTGTTCAGTGCTTTATGTTTTTGTATAGTTGATGGAATGGTGCACCCGCCTGCGCTAACGGTTTACTCTGGCGGGGCACCAGTGCAGGATGATAGGATGAGCATGAGATCAGGTCAGTTAGACCGTCGTAGTAAAATCACCAGGAATTTCTTAGTAAAATTAAATTAAAATATAAATTTTTATTTACGTTTATCTTATATAATAATTTATATGCTACTGGCAGCATCGTTTTTTTTGTGTTGTGATGTGTGATGTAATAAATGTTATTCTATTCTATTATAAATAATATATCAGCTGTATACATTGACAGCCGTCCTCTGTGTTGCCCCAATTTTTTTTTTATATTTAATTTATGACAGATTAAAGTCATCATAGTTATTTCGTAACCAACCCGAACTAGTCAGGACAACTTGATGCTCATCTTATTCTCCACTGATGCTCCGCCAGTGTATGCAGGCAAAAGCAGAATTAAGTCGTGTAAACAGGGGCGGACCGTGAATTCGTGGGGCCATGGGCTGAATTTACTTGGGGCCCAACTAATTATATTACTCAACTAAGAAAATACGCACACAAAAACAAGACGAACGCACACTCGCATGGGTTAATTGATCTCAGGGTTGCCAACCTTAAGATAGGTTTTTAACATTCTAGATATTTTTTTATTCTAAATATCGTTTCAGTGGGGACTGGGGGCCCTTTGTGTGTAGGACTCCTACTTGTAATTTAAAGTCGATTTTCAGCCTAATAGTACGTTAATAAATGTTATATATTTAAAATGCAGTTCCGATGGAGATATAGATAAATAAACAGCATTTTTAGCATACATCTTTCGTGCCAGCAGAGATGGCCCGCGGTCGGCACCTACTAATCGTCGCCACCAAGTAATGCCGACATGATCATTATTTATTATATTATTACTAACAATTCTCAACCATACATACATACATATATAATAAATATAATTGTAATTTGTCGGATTACATATATTACTAGTGTAAATATATATAACTCAAAGGTGACTGACATAGTGATCTATAATGCAAAACCACTGGATTCGATCGGGCTGAAATTTGGCATGCAAGATGTTTGTCGAATAACCGGCATCCACTGAATAGTATTTTAATCATTAATTCTGATAAAACGGAACGCAAAAACAGACATGAGTGATGAAAGTTTGTGATAAAACTACTATGACTTAAATTTATGCATAAAGCTACTATGTTAGATCTGGATTCGTAATAATGTTTTGATAAAAGTATTAACTTTAGGAATAAATTTAAACCACGACCATTTAGAGTAGTAGAGCTAGTATAACATATTTTTATAATAATACCCGAACACAAATGTGTTTGTGTTTCCGTGGTGCAGTTTTAAAAATGTATCTATCTATGTAGTGTTATATTGAAGGTTTTGGACTATTGTCAGGTGCTTTAAATCTGTAGCACCTACAACCTGCATAGATCTATTGTGATCAATACCCTATTTCAAAGTTCATCACCTTACAACTTGTAATAAATATAATTGAAGGATATATATTTCAGCTAAATATATATTTTTATCTCAGGAAAGAGAGTATACTTTCTTAAAGAGATAGTGAAATAATCTTTATTCAAATAAACTTATTATAAGCACTTTTGAATAGTCACATTATTTTATACTATTCGGAATAAAATAATAACATTCGCAGGTCAGCATAAGAAGAATGAGCAAGATTCTCGTGTGATGCTCTTTTAAATAAATGTTGTTTGAAGTAGATTTACATTAACAAAATTAGGCATGCGACAATGTTGTAACTGGCTAATCAGATATGTATTTTATATTCTAAATTTGTATTTGAATTTATAGTTCTTTTATATTACATTCTTGTTTTTGATAGAATTCATTCTTTCTATTCTTAATTGTCAAGTCTATATTAATATATTTTCTCGTTTACCTAGTCTAGTCTACCTTTTTTCTTATTACTACAACAGACAATCAATATAACAATCGACACACTCAATCTCTGTTCAATCAGATAATATTGTCAGTGCTATTAATTTTAAGTCAGATATTTTCTACAAAAACAGTATTATCATTTAAGAGATGTTTCGTTTATGCATGAGTGGGCTATAACCACATAGGCTGACCATATAGAATGCAGGCATTTCCTCTTGAGTTTGTCAAAATCTGTAGATTTATGATCTCTCTATCTATCTATATCTAACTAAATTCAAAATTCAAAAATCATTTATTCATGTAGGACATTTTAGCCGCTTATGAACGTCAAGTTTTTACATTAAAATTTTTTTTTCCCTACCGTCCAGTTCGGTATATAGATCCAATTGAGAAGAACTGGCAAGAAACTCAATTGAATTACTTTTTTTTTAAATCCAGTTTATTTACAACGCATAGGTATTTATATGGGTGTCTATGTCTAACATTAAATGAAAATCCAGAACATGAAAACTATTGCCATGCACGCTCGTCATTCAAGTAATCGTTTAGTGAGTAATAGGCCCTGCTCAGTAAATATGATTTAACAGATGTTTTGAATTTATTTAAGGGTAATTCCAATATATCCTTTATTCCCATAAAAGACCTATTGATTTTTTCTAAACGATACTTGGGGACAGCAAGTTTGTCTTTAAATCTAGTATTAATATTATGAATATTGCTGTTTTTGGAAACTATACATATACTAACTGGTATATGTAACTTTACAGAATAACAAGCTGCCCAACCCGCCGGCGATAGTGTTCGTAATCGACGTGTCCTACAACTCGGTGAAATGCGGCCTGCTCGATACAATCTGCGAGAACATACTCGGCATACTAGAGGTCTGTACTCGCTGTGCCACTCGGTTTGATAACGTATTTATTGTAGTATAAGGTCCTATTTTATTTACATCACTAGCTGTACCCGCGAATTAGTCCGCGTGAGATTTATCTTTATTTTCTAAAATAAAAGTAGACAAGTTACTCCTTATTACATCAGCTACCTGCCAATAAAAGTCCCGTTAAAATTGGTCTAGCCATTTCAGAGATTAAATGGAACAAACAGACAGACAGACAGATAGACGAAAATTGTAAAAAATGTTATCTTGATGATATTTGAGATGAACAGACCAGACCCCAAAATAAGCACCCGTTCACGAGTATGACGTCCGCATTTCTTTTTTATATTAAAATAAATAAATTTATAAAATAGCAGTATCCTAAGTTACTGCTTATGACATTAGTTATCTGCAAGTGAGCCAGTCCAGCTGTTTCAGAGATTGCCAAGAACAAAGAAACAAATACACAATTTTTTTTATGTAATTACTGAGGTCACTAGGCCCTATTGTTAACAACCATTTTCTCTCTACTTTATTAGTAGAGCTGTCGGTTTGTTTGTAGTACCAGTTGTATATATTGTGTGTTGGTTGTCCCAGTCACTGCCCCGGGATGAGCAGACAGGCGAGTGTTACACGCGCGTCGGGTTCATCACGTACAGCTCCACAGTACACTTCTACAATATTAAGGTAACGTAATTCATCATCACCATCACCATCATCATCATCATTGTCATCATCATCATCATCATCATCATTTCAACGTGTGTCTATCCACTGTTGGATATAGTCCTTTTGCAATGACTTCCACCATGTGCGATCTTCCACCTTCCACATCCATCCTTCCCGGCCACTCGTGATGTCGTCGTTCCATGTCGTAGGAGGAAGCCCCATACTCCCTTAGATAAACTCCCAGTATAGCTCTTTCCATCGCCCGCTGTGCACAGCATTACACATATATATAGAACAATACACATTAGAAATCATTTATTCAAATAAACTTAATTTAAGCACTTTTTCATAACAACATTTTTTTTATCTACCGCTCGTTCGGAAAAGCTGTCATCACAAGAAGAACGAGTGAGAATGTTGTGTTTTTTTTTAAATAATCTTTGTACTTGTAAGTTTACATTTCGAAACGTGTGAATACAAACTACCGACCAAAAGCATGGTAAACCGCTAGATCGTCCAGGTCTAGTGTATTGTATTGTAAGTTGGATGCTTTTTTCCGCATTTAAATTTACTTCTTGGTTCTTCCCAGAAGCCTCCTGGTATCTTCACTAGCTTACGAGGATTCGTGTGCGTTGTGTGGCCAGTGCTCATATTCTAGGATTACGTGAGCGGCTGTTTCTTTGGCTAAAAAGAGTGCGTGGTGACGAGGGTCGTGGTGTCCGCAGGAGTCGCTGTCGCAGCCGCAGCAGCTGTCGGTGGGCGACGTGGGCGACATGTTCGTGCCGCTGCTGGAGGGGTTCCTGGCGCCGCCGCCCGCCGCGCCAGTGCTGCCCGCCCTGCTGCAGCAGCTCCCGGACCTGTTCAGGGACAACAAGGAGACGGAGACCATCCTGCTGCCGGCCGTGCAGGTACCGCTCTACGGCTGCCCGCCCTGCTGCAGCAGCTCCCGGACCTGACAAGATACTCAACCATAACAATTTTTTTTAAAGGGATGATAATGGAATGGTGTTCTCCCCTGCGCTATGCATATGCTGGCGGGGCACCAGAGAAGGATGATAGGATGAGTATGAGGTCAGGTCAGTTAGCCCATAGTGGTAAATTCACCAGGAATTAATCACGATGATTTCCAAGGGGAACCGCGTGGTGGTCATGGACATGGTACATTGGTAGCAATGGGGTTTATAGACCACGTTACTGCCAATCCCCTCCCATAATTATTAAATAGGATAAATCAGACTTAAACATGATAAAGAAATATGTAAGGTACATGTAATTTTTTTTATAATGACTATATGCTCTACTACAGGCGGGATTGGAAGCTCTGAAGGCTGCGGACACGTCTGGTCAACTCCTGGTGTTCCACACCTCATTACCCACTTTCAACGCACCAGGGAAACTCAATAATCGCGAGGAGAGGAAACTCCTTGGGACCGATAAGGAGAAGCAGATATTAGGTAAGTGATGTTATGATCTTATAAAAATACATATTCACGAGTTTGACGTCAGGAGAAATAAATATATTATTTAAGAGAAGAGTGTAATAAGATTATAATTACCACAAATATGTTATAAACTAGCTTTTGCTTGCGGCTTCGCTCGCGTTAATTTATCCCCTTGGGGGTGGAATTTATCAAAATTCTTTCTTAGGGGATGCGCTTTATGCATGCAAAGTCTCAGCCCGATCGGTTTAAAATTGACGAAAGTTTCATACAAACTTTCATCCCCTATTTTATCCCCTTGGGGGTAGAATTAATCAAAATCCTTTCTTAGCGGATGCCTACGTCATAACATCTACCTGCATGCCAAATTTCAGCCCGATCCGTCCAGTGGTTTGGGCTGTGTGTTGATAGATCACTATGTCAGTCAGTCACCTTTGAGTTATATATATTTAGAAGATAGATACGCTTTTAAATATCCTACGATTTATATCATTACATAGTATAAAACAAAGTCGCTTTCGCTGTCTGTCCCTCCCTATGTGTGCTTAAAAACTACGCAACGGATTTTGAAGCGGTTTCTTTTAATAGATAGAGTGATTCAAGAGGAAAGTTTATATATATAAACTTTCCTAATACATGTACACCCGTGCGAAGCCGGGGTGTGTAGCTAGGTTGTAAATAAAAACAATTATGAGTAAGACTGTATTAAGATTCGTTCTAGCATAGAAGAGAGTTACTCTTCTTTAGTTATAACTAATTTAACATTGAATATAGACATTATAATTTTAGAAATCCGCCCCACTGTTGTACTTGTATTATACATATAAACGTTTCTGTTGAATAACTTTACCTATTATTAAAAAACTACAATAAAATCCGTTGCGTAGTTTAAATGATTTAAATGAACAGACAGCGACTTCATTATATACTATACTAGCTACTCGCCCCGGCTTCGCACGGGTGTACATTTATTATATACATACCTTCCTCTTGAATCACTCTATCTATTTAAAAAAACCGCTTCAAAATGCGTTGCTTAGTCTTAACAAATTAAGCATACATAGGGACAGACAGAGAGCGACAGCGATTTTGTTTTATATTATGTAATTTAGAAGATTAAATGTAAGTTAAAATGATTTGTTTTTTATCTCCGCTGGATGCGACTACCGTAGTGAGTGTGTTATTTGGTGGTGAGTGAGTGTGTTGGTCTGTTTGTGCAGCGCCGCAGACGACGGCGTACAACGAGGCGGGCCAGGCCTGCTCGGCCGCCGGCGTCAGCGTGGAGCTGTTCCTCTGCAACAACTCGTACGCGGACGTCGCCACCATCGGACAGCTGGCCAGGCTCACCGGCGGACACCTGCACAAGTACACCTACTTCACGGTAAGCGCTACGGCACCACCACACCACCTGTAGTACCACACTTGTGTTATCCACGTTTGTACTATCACACTTGTGCTATCCACACTTGTACTATCACACTTGTACTATCTACACTTGTACTATCCACACTTGTACTATCCACACTTGTACTATCCACACTTGTACTACCCACACTTTTAAACGTTCCTGTTTACACTCGGGACTAGCTGACTGGAGTAACAACGATGTCAATGTAGATAGGTGCCAACAGTTTTTTCATCACACCACTGCCACTTGCCATTTTACCTGTAATGTTCGTATCCGTATGTATGAGGTGTAATAAAACCAAGCTTATCCGTCAAGCGTATATTCCGGACTGGCTCCCATCTCACATATCGCCTTAAAAGTACCCGCCACCTAATTATATCTTATATACCCTATATTACACTCTTCCACACCAATTAACACTTACTCTAACTTATACTACTTAATTAACAATTATAATTTGACATGGTTACTTATACTAAAACTTAATACTATCTAGATTCTTAATTTACATAATCTCTTTGGGCGGACTCGGGGCGGCGGTGGTGCATTCGTACTAGGCAATACCATATCTGGACAGGCGTCCAGATACTCCGGTGACTTCGGAATTTCTGTTGCATCCATTTCTACCGTTTCCACGTTTATCGGCGTTAAATCTGACCGTTCTGCCACCGCCTGTTCCGGCTGAATCCGGTCGGTACCGATCTGTCATCGGTGGTTCTTTGAGTTAGAATTTGCACTGATTCTTTTATCTATTTCCTTCAACGGGTAAGATGATAGGGAAATTCTAGAGGATCTTTTTTTAATTGATCCATATGTCTATGAATCACATCACCTTCTCGGTTCCTTACTTTGTAATTGTTCGGACCTAAACAATCGATAACTTGACCGTGGGGCCCACTTCTCACCCCTCATGAATTGCCTATACCATACCTCATCGTCTACCTGCATCTTTCTACTTGTCCCCTTAAATGATTCTCTTTGTTTCTGCTGAGCTTTGTAAACTTTACTCTCCCTATCTGGTTTTATAACATCTAATCTAGTGCGTAGTCGACGGCCTAATAGTATAACCGCTGGGCATTCCCCGGTTGTCGAATGTTCGGTATTTCTATAGTATAACAAATACGTCCAAAGTGCTTTATTTATGTTTTGTTTCTCTACAACCGCCTTTTTAATTACTTTTTTAATGTTTTAACTGCGTTTTCGGCTAATCCATTTGAGGCCGGGTGGTATGGAGCCGTAAAAATATGTTCAATCCCCTGACTACTAGTAAAATTTTTAAATTCTGAGCTTGTAAAGGGTGGTCCATTATCCGTGACAATTTGTTTAGGCAGTCCGAACCTACTAAATAGTTCACTAACTTTATCTATTACTCCCGTTGCCGCCGTGCTCGATACCCTAATTATTTCCATCCATTTAGATGTTGCATCTACTACCACTAAATATGTTTGCCCTAACATAGGGCCCATGAAATCTAGGTGCAGTCTGGACCACGGCTTATTAGGCCACGGCCACATGCGTGGAGCTTGTCTCGGTGGCGCGTCTGCATTCGCAGCGCATACCTCGCACTGTTTACATATTCGTTCCACCGCTTCATCCAGGCCCGCCCACCACACATAGCTGCGGGCTAAGGACTTGGATTTGACAATCCCCATGTGGGGTTCATGAATCATTAATAATATTTTCTCTTTACAAGAATCTGGCACCACCAGTCTATGCCCCCACATAACGCAACCTAATTCCTCGTATAATTCATTTTTACGATTATAATAAGGTTTCAAATTCGTCATCGCGCAATCTATTGGCCAGCCGTCTCGTATATAACTTAATATTTTTGATAGTATGGGGTCCCTAGAGGTTTGATTTTTAATTTCATTGTAATCTAATAGCAGAGCTTGCTGCACAAAATGTAAATATGTTTGCTCGGGCGTCATTCGAGTCATTGGTTTACTAGCTGATATCGGCAACCGTGACAAGCCGTCCGCCCCGTTCTCGTCTGTGCGTACGTATTCTATATCAAATGTGTAGGCAGATAAAATTATCGCCCACCGTTGCATACGGCTGGCTACCATAGTCGGTATCCCCGTATGTGGCCCAAAAATCGATACCAAAGGCTTATGGTCGGTACGCAATACGAAATGTCGGCCGTACAAATATTGATGAAATTTATTAACAGAAAATATAATAGCTAAGGCTTCCCTATGGATCTGTGAGTAATTCTTCTCCGCGTCATTCAGTGTACGCGAAGCGTAAGCTATCGGTCGCTCGCCGCGTCCGTCCTCCCTCGGTTGTGAGAGTACGGCCCCCACGCCCCTCGCGCTCGCATCGCATGTGACTACTAGCGGTCGCTTCGGGTCGTAGTGCGCTAATACCTCAGCGCTAACTAATAAATTCTTTACTTCTATAAAGGCTCGTTCACATTCCCTCGACCAATACCACGATTTATGTTTTTTTAATAAATCGTATAAAGGTACCAATCTAGAACTCATATTCCTTACAAATTTGGCGTAAAAATTAATTAATCCTAAAAAGGAACGTAATTCGGTCACACACTCTGGGCGTGGTATTTTTGTGATAGCCTGGATTTTATCCGGGTCCGTTTTTATTCCGTCCTTGCTCAATACAAATCCTAAATAACTTACTTCTTTCACTAAAAAAACACATTTACTCGTTTTTAATTTAAAACCATATTTATCTAATCTACTAAAAACTGCCTCCACTGCCTGTAGATGCTCAGCTCTATTCCTACCACCTATGAGAACATCGTCTAAGAATATCTCGACGTTGGGAATATCACTCAGTAAACTACACATAATGCGTTGAAAAATGCCTGCGCTCGACGCTAACCCATATACTAACCTATTATACCGGTATAACCCGCGATGTGTGTTTATAACTGTATACATTTTGGTCTCATCCAGCTCGATCTGGTTATACGCCTGCGATAAATCAATTTTTGAATAAAATTGGGATCCGCTTAATCGAACAATTAAATCCTCTATTCTTGGTAAAGGATAACGATCTACAAGTAACACAGGATTTACGGTTGCTTTATAATCAGCGCATATTCTCAAAGAACCATCCGATTTATTTACCGGCACCAATGGCGAGGCCCAGTCGGAGCAGTCGACGGGCTCGATGACACCGTCGCGCAGCATCGCGTCGAGCTCTGCATCGACCCGCTCGCGCAACGCGTACGGCAACGGTCGCGCGCGGTGGAACACCGGCGCCACGCCATCGCGCACCCTCAACGTAGCCTTGCCGCCCGTGTACCGCCCCAGTCCGCCACTGAACAGCTTCTCATATCTGTTAAACAGTTTTTTAAACTCATGATCTAACCGAAGGTGCTCGTTACTTATTTTATTACAATTAGTGAATTTAGGTATCACTATGCCCAACTCTGTCAGCCATTGCCTACCTAATAATGAGATTGAAGCTCCTTCGATAACAAATAATTCCAATATTTTTTTTATTATTATAAAATACATTTACTTCTATTATACCTAAAGGCTTAACGGATGAGCCATCGTAAAAATTTAATCCAATATTACTCGGTTTTATTTTAATATAATCAAAATACTGTCTATATGTTTCCCCACTAATACAAGACACCGCGGTACCGGTATCGATTTCCATATTTACAATTTTATCTTCAATAGATATCGGTATACTCACAGCCTTGTAGTCGTTTAGACATAAATGATGCAAGTCCTCCTGCATCGAATCGGTCGTTTCCCAGCCCTCCTCCGCTGTATCTCCATAGTGCAAAGCCGCATAGCCATACCGCTGGTTTTGTGTGCTCTGCCTCGGACACACCCGTCGCAAGTGACCGGTGCGGTGGCACTTACTGCAAACGTATTCTCGAAAGCGACAGTTTTCATAATTGTGGTCGTCCGCACCGCATCCAATGCAGTCGCGCCTTTTTCCGCTGTCTGCCCGTGCCGCATTTCTTCCCCGAGGCGTGATAGTGGCGCGCGCGCCGCGCGCTCCACTCCAGACAGCGCCCGTGCCACGAATACGGTATCCGCGCGCCCCGCGCCCGCTCCGTGTCTCCGCCGCTTGCCGTCGCTCGTTCGTGGCCACTAGGGAGTGTATTCCCCCCGTCCCCGCGATCGTTTCCCCGCCGCTCGCCGCGTCCGCGATATCCACCGCCGCCGCGTTCCGCTCCGCTGCTTCTAAAGAGGTTGCAATTTTGACCGCGTGGGCGAAATTTAGTTCTTCATCCTCTGCAAAAAGCCGCTGTCGAATGATGTCGCTCTTCAGCCCACACACGAACTGATCTCGAAGGTTCTCACTTAGGTTATCCCCTAGTTTGCAATGACGTGTTAACTTTTTCAATTCCGCCACGTAACTTGCGATGTTCTCATCTGCTGCTTGTCTTCTCTGCCTGAATCGAAATCTCTCTGCTAATGCCGACGGTGCCGGTTGTAGGTGATCGCGCAGTAGGTTGACCGCAACTTCGTATTCCAATTCCGACGGTTTCCTTGGACTAGCTAAATTCACCAGGAGTTCGTAAGCTTCATCCCCTATGACTGCTATTAATGTTGGTAGTTTGAGATCGTTTTTTACACTGTTGGCCGTAAAATACATCTCAAGTCTTTCTATATATGACGACCACGCCCCAGTTCTAATATCAAACTCGCTTACTCTTCCGATCGACATTGTAGTTAATTTTTCTTCTTTTTTTTTTATTTTTTTTTTTTTCACTCAACTTTTTATACACTATTATTTATACTTGTAAATTATAATAAAAATTAAGAATCCTCGTCGTCCACTGTAATGTTCGTATCCGTATGTATGAGGTGTAATAAAACCAAGCTTATCCGTCAAGCGTATATTCCGGACTGGCTCCCATCTCACATATCGCCTTAAAAGTACCCGCCACCTAATTATATCTTATATACCCTATATTACATTACCACGGCTAGTGCAACCTAGTCGAAATGTCGAGAGAGGTAAATACCTTTATTTTCCATAAAATTATTTCGTGTTAAGACCCGATTAATAATGTAAATTTCAGGAACTAGTTATTTTTAAACTTTCGTGTTTAGAAAGTTTAAAAATAACTAGTTCCTGAAACTCGTTTTGTTTAGACTCATCGACGTAGGGGCGCTCGAAAAGTTGAAAAACTTTCGGTTCCAAATTTGAATTTCGTTAAACTTCGTGAACGATGTACAAAGATTTTCGATTCGAAATTCAAATAGTGATAATAGAAGTAGTGCCTAGTGGCACGGTTGGTGTGTGGAATTGTGGAGGTTGTATAACGTGAAATTATGAATTGAAGTCCTATCGTCAGCTACCAATTTTTCCACATCTAGGTTATGTATGTTTGGAGGCTTCTCTGAAGACGGTCGCGTAGTCCTGCAGACGTCTATCTTTAAAATGTAAAATTTAATATTAGTTAGTTCGTAGGAATCGGCCTCCGTCACGGAGCTACTGAAAGTGTACCTTTTTAATTTTTTTAATCGTTCCGGTCGTACAGGCGGAGTCGGACGGCGCGCGACTGGCGGCGGACGTGGCGCGGGTAGTGAACAGGCCCACCGCACACGACGCAGTGATGCGCGTGCGCACCTCCACCGGCGTGCGGGCCACCGACTTCTACGGACACTTCTACATGGCCAACACCACCGACGTGGAGCTGGCCGCGCTGGGTACGTGCGCCCCCGCCCCCCTGCCCCCGCCCTCCTCACTGCCCACCGCACACGACGCAGTGATGCGCGTGCGCCCCCTCCCCCGCTCGCTCCTCTCCTTCGTATATATCTAACCGGCCCCGTCCTCCACAGACGCGGACAAGGCCATCGGCGTGGAGATCAAGCACGACGACAAGCTGACGGGCGAGGAGGGCGTGTTCGTGCAGGCCGCGCTGCTGTACACGCACCGCTCGGGCCAGCGCCGGCTGCGAGTCCTCAACCTGGCGCTGGCCGTGGCCCAGCAGCTGGCCGACGTGTACCGCAGCACCGAGCTCGACACCTGCGTCGCCTTCCTCACCAAGCAGGCCGTGTGGGCGCTGCGGGACCTCACGCCCCGACAGGTACGGTCTATATTTTTAATTGTAATACATTTCAACACTGGCTCGAGCGTTTTTTTATGTTATGTTTTCCGTTTCCGGATGTCCAGGTGCGCGAGGGCCTGTCGTCGCGCTGCGCCCGTTCGCTGGCCACGTACCGGCGCCACTGTGCGTCGCCGTCGTCGGCCGGCCAGCTGGTGCTGCCCGAGTCCATGAAGCTGCTGCCGCTCTACACCAGCTGTCTGCTGCGCTGCGACGCGCTCGCCGGTGGTGAGTATCCTCTAATTCTCCTCCACCCTTTTCACCCCCTATGTACGCCGGCGGTGAATGCTGGCGCGGGCGTCCTTTGTATTATTGACTATGTTCTTTTATTTATCGGCCGTTATGGGCCGTCGATACGAGCTTCGAGGATCAGTTCTTTTTTCTTAAGAACTCTAAAGTTCTCTTTTTACACGTAATACATGAGAAAATCGTCACAGTCGTGTCAGTCAGCTAAAGGAATTAAAATCCTGAACGGGATTTAATATCGTTCGCCGGACCGATTTTGAATATCGTGGAATCGCGAATGATGTGATTCCACAATGGATGTTCTCCACCGTGGAGTGACGTGGTTGAAGTCCGTGTGAGCTGGAGCGTTGCGGCCGATGGGCCCGCGTGGAGTGGGGCGAAGGGGTAGTGTGGTTTGTCCGCTGGCATGGTTTGGTCGGTCCGCTGAGGGTGTGTGGGCGCAGGTCCGGAGATGACGTGCGACGACCGGTCGTGCGCGATGCTGCGCGCGCTGGCGGCGGACGTGCCGACGTCGCTGGTGTACACCTACCCGCGCCTGCTGCCGCTGCACGCGCTGCACCCCCCCGCCGCCCCCGCCCCGCTGCGGGCCTCCATGGACAAGATCGCGGACCACGGCGTCTACCTGCTCGGTGAGTATACATTTATACACTCCGAACCCGCTGCTCGTCTCTAGATTAGATGCGTCGTACGAACTACTGTAGCAATCAAATTTATTTAAAATTAACTACTTACTACATAAGTATGTACTGAAAGACGTAAACTGACTGTTTATTGCATGTCGTCAATAAAAAATCTCAATTCATATTGTACAAAGTATACAACTGTTATTAGATTATTTTAAAACCACAGACATATTAAAAAACCGTATTTATTGTATAAACAGTAAATCGTCCTATTTACATCTATTTTTATTGTTTTTTTTTGTTTTAAAACGTAAAACCGCTAATTGATTATATACTTGTCTTAGGTTGAATATGAAACTTTCTATGAAACACGGGCGCAACTTTCAAAACTCGAATATTGTTTCTAAATTACAATCATACAAGACATTCTTCGTTCATATTATGAAATTTTCTAAATTATATATATATATAGAATGGAGGAAACTCCACTACAGATCCTATGTGGTCTTAACTAACTCATGCATTAACGTAATATCTCCTTCGGAAAGTTTAGATTCTATCATGAGGATAGAAACCATCGTTCCGGAGAATATCCTTCAATTCTTGTCCCTGACGGATCTAGGTAGCGATTTTTGAAAAAGGGCAGCAATAGATCCATGTAAGCCTACAGTCCTACAGGCCCAAGCGCCAGACGATAGATCGAATCCTCCCAATAAAAACACGTCGGCGCATGTCCGCAGAGAACGGCGTCCACATGTTGGTGTGGGTGGGGTCGCAGGCGCCGGCGGAGCTGGTCCGCGACGTGTTCGGGGCGTCCTCCCCGCTGCACGTGGACACGCAGGCCGGGGAGCTGCCGTCGCTCCCCAACGCCTGCAGCGCGGCGGTCCGCGCCGTCCTCGACGACGCCCGCCGCCGCCGCCGCACCGCCATGCGGGTACTTGTTATGTTCTCTTCGCTTCTATCTCAAAATTGAACGTCCGTACCCGGTGATACGATCTCAGTATTACTCGCTAGTTATGCTCGGCGGTTTCACCCGCATCAAATTTGTAGCCTATATGCAATTCTGTATGTATAAGCTATATCACTGTAAAGTTTCAACAGAATCCGTTCAGTAGTGTCTGCGTGAGGGTAACGAACCGTCCATACTCACAAACTTTCACGTTTATAATATTAATTATTTATAAGGAGTGTATAAACTACCTGAAATGCTATAGAAACACCTGTGTCCAATACTACGATATCATTATTACTTATTTCATCTTCACTTATATTAGAAATAGAAACTCCCATGCCTAGTTTTATAACGATTATAGGTCATCCTAGCTGCCATTACACGTCCGCTCTTTCGAGCGCAAATTTGCTTTCACGCGGGAAAAAATGAACACGTAATTGTAGAGAGAACGAGAAAAACGGCATTACATATATACAACGACGTACATTTCCGCGTTCTTCAATCAAGGTTTAGCGGCTTTTTGTAAAAAAAATATTGTCATTGCAAAATACATTTGACTATGGAGCAAAGACCATAGTATCGAAAATTTATAAATCTCAAACTTGTCTTTGGAAAATAAAATCTCCTCTGACTATGAAGAATTGAAGATTAATAAATCTAGAACATGTTTTTGAGATTAAATAAAATCTGTGGAACAATAATAATAATCTCAGAACAATTCACACAGCGCCATCCAGACCCAAGTTAAGCTAGCTAAAGCTTGTGTTATGGGTACTAGATAACTGATACAAATACATAGATTTTGTTTTCGTAAATACATACATAATATACATAGAAAACACCCAGACCGATACAAACAATCATACTCATGAATACAAATGTTTGTGCCGTGCGAGGAATCGAACCCGCGACCATCGGACGTAAAGCGGTGTGCTAGACCGCTAGACCACCGAGGTCGTATAAAAAATATAATTATAAAAGAAAATGATATAACATAAAATATGCGCGAAAGAGTGAAAACGGCAAACAGTAAAATGAAATCACTCAGAATTTCACGCTCCAAACCCGCACTAAATTACGTACTCTTTTGTTTGCGCGTGAAAGAACGTGTCGTGTAAAAGCAGCTACTGGTGTTAATATAACGTTACCCTATCTGCATGATGTCATTATGTGCATGATTCCGATTTTGCTGATTACACAGCCTGTACGGAAATAATGTGGATGTACGTTTACGATACCTGGAGAATGAGTCTGAACAAACCTCTCACTCTCTTGAGTATATTCTATGGTGGGGAAGGAATTCAATGAAGAGAAATCACCTTATTTACATGAACCAATTCTGTTATTGAATATGTTGTAGTAAAAAAGATGCACTAGGAATATTTATTTATTTGTGCTCTATTGGACCAGTTACAGAACAAAAAAAAGAATAAATGATGATGATGATGATGATGTAATCCCGGCCGATTTCGGCCACGGCGACTGTCCTCAACTCCGGTTTTACCGTTGATGCGCTCGCATGTGACTCTTGTAGCCTATTTTGTTTGTAAAAGAATAAATAGTAAAATAACATTCCTACTCATCGGATTCTATTGTGCATGGCATGGTAGAAAATAGTAGAAAGTTTTGGGCAGTATGTGGTAGTAAAATTAAGATTCTCTACTATACTGTACAATTTTTTTTGCATGAGTAACTTTGATGTCATCATACATACACTTGCAAAATACACACACATATATTGTATTGTATGTACTAACGGAATAGCAAACAGTAAAAAATATAAACTGATGTGTATTACCTACTAATGATTATAGATTTATTACTAATTTTTATAACTAATGTACATATACATGTTCAACTTTTGAATCAACCAGACTGTTATTGAATAACAATTTATTCGATATTTATATCTTAATTCAACTAATATATAAAATTTTAACCAATTCTTTGCACACTCGTCAAGACTTCTGTTTGTTTGCATGATTATATATTTATATATGAACGATATTGTCGTCTCTTTCACTGACCGCAGTCAGTAAAGTTCTTGATGAGTGTGCGAAAGAGACGAGTGCTTCGTTGTAACCATTCCCGCATGCGCACTATTCCCGTCTGGCTGTGACAGTTGCACATAGTGACCCAACACGGCAACCAGGACACAGCCTTCCGGAGACACCTGGTGGAAGACCGCGGGCTCGACGGCAGCGACTCCTACCTCGACCACCTGCTGACGGTCCACAAGACCGTGCAGAAGCTCGTGTAGGTCCGGTGGAGGTGGAGTGACAGAGACGGGTGTATTTGGTGGAGGGAGACACGGCTAGTTTCGTTACCAAAACTACTATCAAGTTTTGTTTCGAGAAACTTCCATCTTGGACTGGAGAATACCCATTTGGACGGGAGAAGATCCCATTTTTATTTATTCCATCAAATCCGTTATCGAAGTCATTATTCCTCATTAGAGCGGATTAAAGATGGGTGTTTTTATGCGTATTTGTCTGCAAATTTAAATGACTTGGAGTATGGCGATGGTTTGCGTGCGATGATGGGTGAAGGAGTGAGACCACTTAAAGAGGGTATCATACATTTGAGCCGTGATTCCATTTAGACAATCATTCCCATCAAGACCTGGTTAAATTATCTCATCAAGACCTGGAAATCATACACATTAAGACCTGGAAAATTCCATATTGAGTTTCAGAGTTCTCCATTATGCATATTACAGCTTTACCATTGCGTGGCTTATTGACATCGTTTTTTGTATCGTAAATTCTCACAATGATGTGATGATGATACTCCTGAAACTAACTTAACATATTTGTCTTCCATTCAATATTTGAATGACAGAGCTTTTTCATTCAATGGATTGAAAAGTTAATCAATTGAATTGAAAACCTCCAATGCAATGTTTTATTGTTATTTATTCCTCTTATTATTTACTAGCTACTCGCCCCGGCTTCCCACGGGTGTACATGTATTATATATATAAACCTTCCTCTTGAATCACTCTATCTGTTAAAGAAATCGGTTCAAAATCCGTTGTGTAGTTTTAAAGATTTAAGCATACATAGGGACGGACAGACAGCAACAGCGACTTTGTTTTGTACTATATATATATGTATATGTACTATGTAATGATTACTTTATGTGTATCGAATATACGTATTATATTTCTTTTAAATAACTAATTTTATAAAAAGGTAGTTAAAATTTTGAATGCCTCATTCATTTGTGAAGTAACTCATTCATCAGCATCACCCATTAACTCACCTCATACAAATTATGTCATTATTAACAGTTGATGATGTTTGTTGTGTTGTAGTGTTGTTGTTGCTCCTGCTGTCTGCTGTACCCTCGACTTCGTCCGCGTGGAATTTAACTTTATTTTCCAAAATAAAAGTGGCCTAAGTTACTCCTTATTACATGCTACCTGCCAAAAAAAGTCCCGTCGTAAAAAGAACAAACATACAGACAGACAAAAATTGCAAAAAGTGTTATTTTTGTGTATGTACCGTATTTATATTCATATGCATGTAGTAAATAACGGTTATTTATTTTATTTTATTTATATGTACAGATGTTGTGTAATATGTATGTGTTATTTGTTCGCTTATCGTGTATTATTAACAATTTTAATACATATATAACTTGTATTATTTATATTATTATTTCAACATATAACTTAATACATGAGAGATGGGACCAAACCTTTGGTGACAGATGGAGTTGTAAGTTGACATATCCCTGATTAAAAGCCAAAGCGCCACAACGCAAAAAAAACTGACATTATTTTTTTATCCAATATTGGTATCTAAATCCTTATAACCTAAATATATATAACTCAAAGGTGACTGACATAGTGATCTATCAACGCACAGCCCAAACCACTGGACGGATCGGGCTGAAATTTGGCATGCAGGTAGATGTTATGACGTAGGCATCCGCTAAGAAAGGATTTTGATTAATTTTACCCCCAAGGGGATAAAATAGGAGAAGAAAGTTTGTATGAAACTTTGTCAATTTTAAACCGATCGGGCTGAGACTTTGCATGCATAAAGCTACTATGACGTAGGCATCTCCTAACAAAGAATTTTGATAAATTCCACCCCTAAGAGGATAAATTAACGCGAGCGAAGCCGCGTACAAAAGCTAGTTTTTAAATAAAAAAATACACCCATGATTCTATACACATAGATATACCACTTATAGATTCGTAAAAAATTTAAAAATATCACAGTGAAAATTTTGATGAGCTCTCCTGTAAAATTTACCGTTTGCGTCACGTGGCCCTATGGCATTTAATCAGCGATATTTGTAATATGGAATAGTTACTGACATGAATAGATATTTTTCTATGACCATAGACACTCCACGAGTGTACCAGAATGGCAGTCAGTAGGGAGAAATAGCGAGATGTAAGGCGACATCTGTCTCTCACTCCACTACATAATGACCACGACCGTTCTTTCAAGAGTATATCGAATAAGAAGAATGAATATAGAAACTAAAAATATAAAAGATATTTACATATTTTATTACGCAAAATACTTATATTTAGCGTTTAGAATTGTCCATAGGGGACACGAATTCAATATTGTCACAATAGCATAATCTTATTCTAAAAGTTTGTGTATATTTAACTTCCTAACACAAAAACAACTTAAGTATAACTAATACTATAGTTTAAGAAGGTGTGACATTTCAAAGCATGCACAAATTTATCTTTTAACTCACTTAACAATAACTAATAAAGCTGTCAAACTATATTGGAATTGAGGGAACTACGACTGATTTCATAGGTGCGTGCAGATTCTGCCCGACTGCATATGTGACCACAGCATGGGGTTTTTCAGGAAGGATACTACGGTTCTTAAGGCTCGGCTATGTGCACGTGACACTGCTGGTATTTCAGGTGTCCATAGCTCATCATTTAGCATCAGATGGCCTTAAAAAAAATGTAACATGTTTGTATTGTGTGAAATTTTCGTGACTTTTACACGAAGAAGTGATTGTGAGTGGTATATAATAGTAACTTTAGGGGTCCATAGGCTAAGGTAACCGTTTACTATCTGATGAGCCATTTAGCTCTATTGCAAAGGTCATAGTATAAAAAGTATGGTGTAACGCGTTGTTGCAGCTGACCGTGATGCGTCAACACGACAAGCTGGAGACGGTGCTGCGGCACTTCCTGGTGGAGGACCGCGGCGTGGACGGCAGCGCCTCCTACGTGGACTACCTCTGCCACGTGCACAAGGAGGTGCGCGCGCTCCTATAGCACCACCACTAGCGCGCACCACCGCGTCCTCACACGCCCTGCCGCGTCCTAACACCTCCTACCACGACCTACCGCGCCCTACCGCATCCTACCTCGCCCTATCGCGTCCTACCACGCCCTATCACGTCTTACGGCGTCCTACCGCGTCCTATCACGTCTTATCACCAGGGTAGCACTGACGTTCCGACGATAGCTCTTCAAACCTCGTGCCGATGGTACTGCTGGTGACCGTCGACCGGTGTATCGTGGTATATCGTGTTGTGACATCTCCAAAACTGACAAATGTATAAATATCGTTATATACTTTCTCATTAAACGTTTTTATTACATAGTATTCATAAACAAACTTAGTTTGTACGTGAATGGTATGACAATCTGAAATTGATGGTTAATATTAATAAAAGGTATAAATTCCTCTAAGGGTAATAGATTGAGATATAAAAACACTGTTAATTGGATCCGTCGATCAGTTTGCACTGTACTCTGTTCTTTATATACCTAGCATAACAATTACAGTAGACCAGACCCGTGTCGCTGTTATATACTTATTTTATAATTTGACTTTTACAATTAATATGTCAATTATATATTATTATTTATTATTATTCCAAGTTATTGGTGGTCTTGACATCTCACGCTCCATTGTAATGTTTCCAGCTTACTATTGTTAATCTTATTTAATTTTACTTTAAATATTGTATGGTTAATAGAAATTACCTTAACTCGTCACTCTCATAAGAGCAGTGTAGTAATTAAAATTATAAAGCATTAACTCAAAAAATTACTAGTCTCGAAAAGTGCACTCTAAAGTTGTAACTTGAAGGTCTAATTTTAAATAAATCGAGTTAAAGTTAATGCATTATTGTTTTAAGAAACCTTTAGAAAGACTAACGTATGTGTAGTGCGAAATATATGCATATTTATTTAATTATTAAAGTTTGCAATAAAGAAGGGTATCCCACAGGAGCAAAACTTAACAGATGTTTTGCAATAAGAAAAGGATTATCAAATCAAAACATCTTCATTAATGTAGGTCTATTACAGACTTTTATGATATGTCAAGTCTACCGTCAGATCGGTCCTTAGACTAAGGAGAATTGACAAAATTCAGCTCTTATTCATTTCAAATGAGCTTGTACATGATTACAAAACTTATATTTTCTGTACGCCTGTTAAGACTTACTTAAGTTACACAACTCCATACTAAATTCTATAACTTTTATCTTTTTTATATATCTACTTAACCTTCCCCTAGAGATGCACGGTAGCAATAGAAACTGTTATTGCAGCAAAATATTTCTACCAAATGGTATAATTACTTTCTACTAATATGTTGGCAACACTGTACGACTGACTCGAGTGGTGTTGTCAGCTTAGGACTTCCTATATAGTACTAATATCTGAAAGATACTTCTGTTATGAAATTAACTTGGTAATAAATAGTAGTTTTAGGAGTTTAATAATTGTAAAAATATAATTATTGTAAAATTATTGCGTTTAGAAACATTTTTATATTTTGGTTTAGTTAATATATGTGACGGGAGGTCCGAGTAAGTTTGTTCGTGTCGAAAGTTTATAGTATTTCGTATGTATGTATCGTTAGCATAAGGCTCGCCTGTATCACAGTGTAAATAAATAAATATAACTACTGTAATACTTAATTATGTCTTGTTTCATTTATCTTAATTTATATTTTTAACTAGCTCTACCCGCGACTTCGTCCGCGTGGAATTCAACTATATTTTTCTACAATAAAATTTAGCCTAAGTTACTCCTTATTTCATCAGCTACCTGCCAATAAAAGTCCCGTCAAAATCGGTCCAGCCATTTCACAGATTCGCCGGAACAAACAGACAGACAGACAAAAATTATAACAAAATGTTATTTTGGTGTATGTACCTTATTTATATTCATATGCATGTAGTAAAAAACGATTATTTCAATATTACAAACAGACACTTCAATATTATATATACGTATAGATGACGTTACTTGGCTCTATCAAAAGTAATCATGATTTTACTTTTATTTTACAGAAAAAGTGACCCCCAGTCACATTGATTTCGTGTACTTGACAATGATCAGTACCGTACGTAAAGTTAAGAAATCACTGGAGCTTGCCACGCTTTGTTTATGACCATCCAGTTAACGATTAATAAATAAAACGTCAATTTTGAGAATAAATAATAAGTTTCACGATCAATCAATTTTATTATTTTTATGTTCAATCAAAAATCTACAAGTATCGCTACTAGTAAATAAAACACAACTACTTATTAATTTTTATTTGTTGTTTGTATATCTGTCATCAAATGTGGGTAGGACATTGTGGCTGCTCGTCTTTACAAACCAACTGTTTTGTGTAGCAACCGGTACCGTACATTGTCAAGTACACGAAATCAATGTCTGGGGGTCATTTTTTCTGTAAAATAAAAGTAAAATCATGATTATTTTTGATAGAGCCAAGTAACGTCATCTATACATATATATAATATTGAAATAACCGTATTTTACTACACGCGTATGAATATAAATACGGTACATACACCAAAATAACATTTTTTACAATTTTTGTCTCTCTGTCTGTTTGTTCCGGCTAATATCTGAAATGGCTGGACCGATTTTGTCGATACTTTTTTTGGCAGGTAGCTGATGTAAAAAGTCCCGTCGAAATCGGTCCAGCTATTTTTGAGAGATGTAGTAAATAACGGTTATTTCAATATTACAAACAGACAGTCCAGTTTTATTTATATGTATAGATTACAGGAATCGCAGCAACCTTAGGTAACTTATTACTATGGTGAGTATGCTTTGAGATTTGGTTATTCACCTGCTTGGGGTAAATAACTTCTATAATGGGCCCCTTGTAAGTGCACGGCAGGCAGTACTCGGGGGTGCGGCGGCGGCCTCTCCTGCACCCCAACACTTCCGCCGCCCACGTGAACACATGCAGCAAAATTAGGAGGATTTCGTAACGCATTCCGATCGCAGGACTTTATTACATCTTTGACTGAAATATAAATATTATACTAAGAAAGGAATATTGAGGACATCTTACTAATATTATAAATGCAAAAATTTGAAAACTACTGAACGAATTTTGATGAAACTTTACAGTAAAAGCTTATACATCAGAATAACATATAGCCTATAAATATCATGCGTCTGAAACCGCGGCCACAGCTAGTTAATAATAATTGATTTTTGCAAAACAAAAACCGCTCCAATATCTTAAAAAAATCTTAGAAAAATTCACACAGCGCCATCTAGACCCAAGTTAAGATAGCTAAAGCTTGTGTTATGGGTACTAGACAACTGATATAAATATATAGATATATATTTTTTTCGTAAATATATACATATTATACATATAAAACACCCAGACCGATACAAACAATCATACTCGTGAATACAATTGTTTGTGCCGTGCGAGGAATCGAACCTGCGACGAGCAGGTAGAGTCTCCGCAACGATTGTAACTACAGTACATTTGAGACAGCAAGTACCCTGTTGACATATCCGGATATTGAAGGACGAGTCCCTGGGTCTCGAGGAGCAGGTAGAGTCTCCACAATGATAGTAAATACAGTACAGTTTGAGACAGTACCTTGTTGACATATATCCGGATATTGGAGGACGAGTCTGTACGCCGTGAGGAGCAGGTAGAGTCACCGCAAGGTCGGCAGGTGGTCGGGCGCCGCTTGCAGCCATACGCCGCGTCCAGCACACACACAGCTATGTGCAGGAACACCAGCACGAACTCGTTCATATACACCATACTGTATACACCTATAAGTACTGTATTCTGAGAATAAATAATTTGATTTGATTTGATTTGACAACGACACAACTGGAAACAGGTTCGACAAAATTAGTAATTACATTGGAGTTAGTTTTATTGCCAGCCTCGGTGGTCTAGTGGTTTACCACACCGCTTTACTATACGATGGTCGCGGGTTCGATTCCTCGCACGATACAATTCAATATTTATTAAGAAAGCATTTAGAAACCTAGGATTTATTAACAGAATAACCAAACCTTTTAAAAAAACTTCAACTTTTAAAGTCCTTTATTTTTGCTTTGTTAGATCTATACTTGATTTTGCAAGTATTATTTGGAACCCTATTTATAAAGAACAAATAAAAAGAATTGAAAATATTCAAAAAAAATTTATTAATATTATGAATTATCGTGACAATGCAACTTCTTCTTCATATTGTGAATCTCTAAAAAAATATAAACTGCTTTCTCTTGGAAAACGACGCACACAGTTTGACCTCTCATTTTTATATAAAATTTTAAACAATTTAGTAAATTCGTCCACTATCTTATCAAGAATAAACTTTGTGGGTAAGGCTCGACTACCTGTGCGTACCTCACGTTCTATTAACTTATTTGTACCACTTCGTCCACGTCGAAACTATGTATACTCGTAATAATTTCTTCTCGCGATGTCTTCTCACATACAATAAAGAATTTTCAGACATTGATATTTTTTCAAATTCTTTTCATGCCTTCAAAGGGGAAGTAATACAAAAATTGAATTGTCTCTAATATGACACAATAATTATGTATTTGTAGATTTTGTCTTTTCTTTTTTAAATGTACTAGTTACTTTCCAGACATTGTAATGTAGGTAGGTAGGCTTGGGTATTCTTTGTTTACTTAATAATTAATAATTATGTTTTCTTCACTGTCTATGTTATAATTGTTTTGTTATATTTCATGTTACTGTATCGTCTGTTTATAGTAAAATATAAAATGTAAAAAAAAATTCTAACCTTAATATCTAGGCTCATTATGTCAACACTACTTATTAATATAATACTACTTAAATACTTTTCGGTACTCGTTGTCTATCAACTATCTATATATATATATATATTTGTAATTATAATTGTAATGACTGTTTGTACCAAAATAAATTAAAAAAAAAAAAAAAATTATGAGTATGATTGTTTGTATCGGTCTGGGAGTTTTCTATGTATAATATGCATCCATGTATTTATATCAGTTGTCTAGCACCATAACACAAGCTCTGCTTAGCTTAGGACTAGATGGCGCTGTGTGAATTGTCCTGAGATATTATTATTATTATTTTTATTATAATTCTTTTCGGCTATCGCCGGTAATTTTGGTATATTTATACGTACATTTAGTAAAAATCACGGGATCTTACCACGTTTTATATTTATTTACCGAGTTCCCGATATTTCGGCAGTGTTTCAACCACCATGATCACGGGTAAACTGAAGAGCAGCAGTTTTTTCACAAATTCCGGTTAAAGATAAATAAATTTAAATCGATTTAATAATTCTCAGCTACTGCTACAGCTCTCGCCATCGCCACTTACCACCGTCAGCTTCTTTGCCATTTTATTTACATGAATAAATGAAAATAGACCTTCGTTGTGTGTCGTCACTTCTTGACACACTTGGGGTTGTTCTGGTCGCATGTGACGTAGTCGTGACGCGTGCAGCCCAGGCACGTTTCCAGGTAGGAGAGCAGCAGACTCACCAGCAGCACCACCACCTCTTGTAAGAATGCTGTTTCCATCGCCAGTGGCGATCTGGACAATAATAGAAGTACCAAAATTAAATTATCAAATGATACCTAATTCGAACTTGTGTTATTTATTACTAGCTCTGCATCCGCGACTTCGTCCGCGTGGAATTTAACTTTCATTTTCTAAAATAAAAGTAGCCTAAGTTACTCCTTATTATATCAGCTACCTGCCAATAAAACTCCCGTCGCAATTGGCCTAGCCATTTCAGAGATTAGCCGGAACAAACAGACAGACAGACAAAAATAGTAAAAAACGTTATTTTGGTGTATGTAGCGTATTTATATCTATTCATATGCATGTAGTAAAAAACGGTTATTTCAATATTACAAACAGACACTCCAATTTTATTTATATGTATAAATTATAGTAACCCTGGATAAGTCACATAGCGCCATCTAGTCCCAAGCTAAGCAGAGTTTGTTTTATGTGTACTACACAACTAATAGAAATACGTATAGGATATTTGGAACAAACAGACCGGTACAAACAATCATACTCGTGAATACAGACTGGACGCGTGCGAGGAATCGAACCTGCGATCAACGGAAGTAAAAAGGCAAAAAAAAAAATACAAAATAATTTCACAATATATAAAAAAATAACACATAATATTCTGTGTAGAATAGAATAGAAAATAATTTATTCAAATTAACCTACATTGAAGCATATAAATACGGTACATACACCAAAATAACATTTTTTACAATTTTTGTCTGTCTGTCTGTTTGTTCCGGTTAATCTCTGAAATGACTGGACCGATTTTGACTGGATTTATTTGGAAGGTAGCTGATATAATAAGGAGTAACTTAGGCTACTTTTATTTTAGAAAAATAAAGTTAAATACCAGTTGGACGAAGCCGCATGTACCGCTAGTTAATAATAATTAGGTAGCAAAATGAGTAATGTAAGGCACCCACATTATGTTTTTTTACAGGGCGGGCTGTTAGTGTTGCAGGTGACCTTTTTACTACCGCAGGCGGAGACCTGCGACCATGCGACGGCGGACAGCAACAACCACACCAGCCGCCACCACAACATCATACGCCTGCAGTCCAGTATGCAAAAATTCAGAATTCAAAAATCATTTATTCGTATAGGACATTTTAGCTGCTTATGAACGTCAAATTTTTATATTATTTTTTTCCCTACCGTCCAGTTCATTATATAGAGACAATTGAGAAGAACTGGCAAGAAACTCGATTGAATATTTTATTGTTTTAAAAGCTAGCTTACAGTACAATTCCAGATTACAACATAATTTACCATCAATACCACTACATCCAAACTGTCTGTAAGAGAGATATTTACCACATAACCCAGACTGTCTGTAAGAGAGATATTTACCATATAACCCAGACTGTCTGTAAGAGAGATATTTACCATATAACCCCAGACTATCTCTACGAGAGATGTTTACTACATAACCCATACTGTCGGTAAGATATATATTTACCCCATAACCCCAGACTGTCTGTAAGAGAGATATTTACCATATAACCCCAGACTATCTCTACGAGAGATGTTTACTACATAACCCATACTGTCGGTAAGATATATATTTACCCCATAACCCCAGACTGTCTGTAAGAGAGATATTTACCATATAACCCCAGACTATCTCTACGAGAGATGTTTACTACATAACCCATACTGTCGGTAAGATATTATATATATTTACCACATAACCTCAGACTGTCTGTAAGAGAGATATTTACCATATAACATAACGAGAGACTGTCTCTACAAGAGATATATATTTACCCCATAACCCCAGACTGTCTGTAAGAGAGATATTTACCTCATAACCCAGACTGTCTCTACAAGAGATATTTACCACATAATCCAGTCTGTCTGTAAGATAGATATTTACCACATAACCCAGACTGTAAGATAGATATTTACAACATAACCCAGACTGTCTGTAAGAGAGATATTTACCTCATAACCTATAGTCCTTTCAAGATTTTTTTACAATACTGAATTGTTGTGCGTTTTTCCTTTTGTAAACAGATACAAGGAGTAATTGCGTGGTACCGCGGTAATTATTATTACTTTTAGCTGAACTCAATTTCTCTTGTTACACCTTTTGAAACTTACCAAATTTGTAGTTTATTTTTAATTTGTCGCAGAGAGAGACATTTTCAAATCGCCCTCGCTCGCTCCCTGCAAACGAAAAACTGATCTGAATCTTTCCACCGCGCGAAACCAACATCAAAGTATATATTACAAATAAAATAAGTACAAATATAATAAAAGATAACTACGAAAACAAAAGATACGTGGAATTTGACCCAAATCAATATTTTCGTGTTGCATTTTGAAACACAAATTTCTTGCTCATTCTTCTTGTGATTGCGGTTTCTATGTTGATTGTCGCATGCCTTATCTTTGTTAATGTAAATTTAATTAAAATAATATTTATTTAAAAGAGCAACACACAAGTTTCTTGCTCACACTCCATGTGAAGAGTCTGCGTTCCGAATGAGCGGTGGTATAAAAAAACGTGACTATTCAAAAATGCTTATATTAAGTTTATTTGAATAAAGATTATTTCTATTAAGAAATAAAATGTTATTAATGTGCAAATTTTTATTTGAAACTTTTATAACATGTTTATGACAATGAAAATAATTACTTCTACCTGTATTCTATTTCAGGAAAGAAATGTAAGAATATACTTAAATTTTAATGAAACATTTTGGAATTAGTTTGATATTTAGATAAGCTTGGGGTATATGATAAAATAAGGGTATAATATATGGGTTATGAGCGTTGGCTCTAGTTTCGGTAGGGTCCCCGGCGGCAAGGCGCGCGGCCCGAGCACGTGATCCTCCTTTTGCAACACGACGCTCCCACAACGAAAGCCGTGAACAGAGCTAGTATTATACTGTACACACGGGACAGGACGTAATTAGCCATGCTTTACCTGCAACAATATGCATAGACAGTAGACTTTTTAGGTTTAGGTTTTTCACACTTTCTCCAATTTTGTTTTTTTTTTATATAATGCAAGGGACAAACGAGCATGCGGCTCACCTGATGGTAAGTGATTACCGCCGCCCATGAGCACCCGCAACACCAGGGGAATTGCAAGTACGTTGTCGGCCTTTTAAAAAGGAATAAGCTCTTTTCTTGAAGGTTTCAATATCGTATCGGTTCGGAAATACCATTGCTGAAAGGTGATTCCTCAATGTGGTTGTGCGAGGCAAAAAGTTTCTAGAAAACCGCACTGTGGAGGACCGCCATTCATCCAGATGATCAGGATGGTATTTCAGTTTCTGGCGGGTGGTACGGTGGTGAAACTCAGCAGCTGGTATTAATCCGAACAATTCCTCAGAACACTCCCCGTGACATATGCGGTAGAAAATGCACAGAGATGCAATATCTCGCCGCAAAGCCAATGGTCGCGGGTTCGATTCCTCGCACGGTATAAATAGTTGTATTCATGAGTATGATTGTAACGGTCTGGGTATATTTTTTATGTATTTATAAAATATTTACCCGAGGTAGTGATAAGGCTATACGACTGATAGACAGACTTATCTGATAGCAACAATATTTTACATCAATAATCTTCTCCGGTCAACCCAATGACCATGACCAATTTGCTGGTAACAGTGAAAAGGGAAGTTTTTTATACTACGATGGTGGCAAACAAGCATATGGTCCATCTGATGGTAAACGGTTACCGTAGCCTATGGACGCCTGAAACACCATGAGTGTCACGTGCGCGTTGCCGTCCCTTAAGAAACCCCAATATACCCTTCTTGAAAACCCCATGCTATAGTCTCGCGATACAGGTTCGCCTAGTGCGGGGTCCAATGTATAATCAACTTTGTAATATTTGTAGTTTGAAAATGAATAAATAAATCCCGATTTTTTGACGTCATGTACCGATTTTTCGGACCTGGCAACACTAGCCCCAGTATACGTGTTGTTTCGAATAAATAAAATAGTTATTTTTATACTTTCGTGTTTAATATATATTATTTTAATTATTAACCGGGTCTTAACACGAATAATTTTATGGCAAGTAATGGTATTTACCTCTAATAAGAGAGAGATTCCATAAAACTATTCGTGTTAAGACCCGGTTAACAATTTAAAAAATGATAGTGTTGGGAAACTCTAGAACTGACAATTGCATGAGATTTGCCTACCATTAGTTTCACTTGTTGCAGGGTGCCGGCTGTCTGCAGGCTATATAAACTTTGCGTGTACACCCCCTCACGTAGCTCGCAAGCACCAGTAATACAGTAAGGAACATGCACAGGGCGCGTCCCATCCTCCTAGCACTGTATTAAAGGGTATTCCATGGGTGCGGCCACTTTATTTTGCTCTCTGAAATCAGGGGCTCAATTATGTAACGCCATTGCTATATATATAACTAGCTTTTGCCCGCGGCTTCGCTCGCGTTAATTTATCCCTTTAGGGGTGGAAATTATCAAAATCCTTTCTTAGAGGATGCCTACGTCATAGTGCATGCAAAGTCTCAGCGTGATCGGTTTAAGATTGATAAAGTTTCATACAAAATTTCATCCCCTATTTTATCCCCTTAGGGGTGGAATTTATCAAAATCCTATCTTAGTGGATGCCTACGTTATAACATCTACCTGCATGCCAAATTTCAACCCGATCCGTCCAGTTTGGGTTGGGTTTGGTTTGGGCTGTGCGTTGATAGATCACTATGTCAGTCAGTCACCTTTGAGTTATATATAGATAATTCTCATTTGTACAAAACTATAATGTATATAAATCTTGCCAGTTCTTCTCAATTGGATCCATATACTGAAGTGGACGGTAAGGAAAAATTTTAATATAAAAAATGTTATGTTCGTAAGCGTCTAAAATGTCCGAAAATTATTTTTGATATTGAATTTGATATATTGTAATTGGTGTCATATAAATAGGAAGCAATTTCGTTACATAATTAAACCCCAGGCGACCTAGAAACGCAATCTCGTACCTACAAATTGTAGGCAACACACAAATCTAACAGCTAAAGTATTATGTTATAATATTAATAATGCCTAATTTACACTCAGCCCTACTAGGTAGGGAAGTGAGCAGCGTGAGAGTGGAAACACGAGTGGAAACACTTCCCATGCCATTGTCGCTGCCACTCGCGCTGCCCGGCGCTCCCTCGATTGTCGGTTGTTCGTGCACGAGTCAAAGGACTGGCAGCGCGAGTGGCAGCGTGTTTTTACATTCAGCCCTCTCGCTCAGTTGTCGCCCAGCAATATTTACGGCAGCGCGAGTGGCAGGGGAAGCAGCTGAATGTAAACATAGCATAAGGGTCAAATTCCGTTTTCTACAATTTGTTAATATATAAATTAAATAATTTACTTATCTACTTTAAATTACCTGCAGTTTCCTGTACGAAATGCTTGAAAAAATGGTTACTTGAAATGTGAAGTCTGAAGATTTTCTATTGAGTTTTGCGGAATATGTATTTTTTTACTGATTTGCCAAATAGAATGGAGTTTGAAATTAATGTCAAATAAAACGAATTTATCAGCTTCATCGATTTGTAAAGAGGTTTCTTTAGAAATAAAGGGAATGACAAAATCTTGTGATGTTTTCTCAGAATAATGAGTTATTGTTCAAAATTCTGGGGAAATGCTAATTTTGCTCTCGGCTTCGCTCGCGTTAATTAGTCCCGTTAGGGGTGGAATTTATCAAAATCCTAGTAAATAGTAGCTTTATGCATGCAAAGTCTCAGCCCGATCGGTTTAAAATTGACAAAGTTTCATACAAAATTTCATCCCCTATTTTATCCCCTTGGGGGTAGAATTAATGAAAATCCTTTTCTTAGCGGATGCCTACGTCATAACATCTACCTGCATGCCAAATTTCAGCCCGATCCGTCCAGTGGTTTGGGCTGTGCGTTGATAGATCGCTATGTCAGTCACCTTTGAGTTATATGTATTTAGATAGATTAGACAGAAAATTGTATTAAAAAATATCTATAATACGAGAAATAACGTAAAGTATATTTTTTTTTAATCTAAACTAATATTTAATAGGCAGAGGAATACTCTTCATCAGCTATATTGAGATTACTAAAAATATTACAGTGTTACGAAGTATAATATTGCATAGTGGTATATTTCATATTCATGTAGCTTTATTTAATAAAGGAAAGAATGAAATGAAATGATATTTATTCAGTAGAAAAAAAAACTAAAAAAGACAAAAAAAATAACAGACACTGCAACAATTATAAAAAAAAGTACACAAATTACGTGTGTGCACGTGTGCGTGCATGTGTATGTTTGTCGAAGCATCTACTGAACAGGTCCGTGCTCAGCATAATGCTGCAGCGGCTGGAGCGCTGCAACGCTGTTTTTCAGCACAAGACCTGGTGTGGTGTATTGCCGTGTTGTACACGATTTATGATATGAAATAAAGATAGTAAGTAATATATATTTCGCAAAAGCATCGAATAATCCAGAAAATTTGTCAACTGAAATGAATATAATAATTGTACTTCAGAAAGCAATGATTTCGAGATGAGAAGAACTGACAAGAAACTCAGCTCGTATTATTTTTTTAATAAATGTTGTAAATATATACGAAAATACAGATTCATTTAAATTGAAATTTGGGAGAATAGAGTGACCACCAGCATATGCTATTGCAAAAAACAAAAAATCTAATCAGTAATGTTCGCAACCTGTATCTCTAAAAGGCCAGTCCCCACAAGAGCACCCGTTCACGATAGGACGGATGAGCCAGCCATCATTGCACTCAACCATATTAGAGAGAGCAATGTCAAAATACAAGTTTGAACTTTATACGCGCATGACTGTTTCAAGTTACCCATTAATCATTTATATTATTTACAGCATAAACTGTACCAATCACAGTTTTCACCCATTACAATATTTAATTTACATTATTTAAATTACAATATGTCATTATTAAATTTAGAATAAGTTTCTTTAGTGTTTATTACATTATCTATGTCAATGGGAAAATTATATACCTCATAACAAAAGTTAAAATAATTATTAAGTCCACGCATTGTACTATATTTATATTTATCAATTATGTAGATGAATTATTAGCAACAACAAAAAAACAAGAATAGAAGAAAAGAGCTTATACAATTCTTCTGGTGTTGCTGGTGCTACTACGCATGATGACCAATATAACTACAAATAATGTATTATTAACTATTTATTATTACTCATAGGAAAAAATGCAATTGAATATATAATATTTGACATCTGTTTTTCATGTTACTTGGCAACAATTCGAATTTAGAATAAGCATACGTCACAAGGGTGACATTTTTTTACATATCATAAACAAAATGTAGATAATTCTAAAAGTATCGTGAAGTAAATATACACATAAATAAATCGGGCCGATACGCAGTACTAGTCTATATATATAAATAAAATTGGAGTGTCTGTTTGTAACATTGAAATAACCGTTTTTACTACTTCCATATGAATATAAATACGGTACATACACCAAAACATTTTTTTTTACAATTTTTGTCTGTCTGTCTGTCCGTCTGTTTGTTCCGACTAATCCCTGAAATGGCTGGTTTGATTTTTATGGGATATTTTTTGGAAGGTAGCTGACGAAATAACTAGTAACTTAGGCTACTTTTATTTTAGAAAACTTCTTTTATTTTAGAAAAATAAAGTTAAATTCCACGGACGAAGTCGCGTGTACAGCTAGTCGATAATAAATGTTTGTATTGATGTCCGGCAATATTCATATCACTAGCGCACCATGAGTTGCGGCATGCGCGTGCGCCACGCGCCGTCTTATTTTTAACAAACAACTGCTTCCGATCAAACGAAATTAATCACATTTCTAACAAAATGCTTTCAAAATAAATAAAAACTGTCAGGGCATTAGTGAGTGAGTGATGAGTGTGGTATGCCAGTGAGATATTCAAGTGGTATGTGGTGATGTAGAGTGGTGCGGTCCTCGGATTCCAACTGGTGAGTGTGTTCATATTTTTGCCAAATACGTGAATCAGATGTCCCCAGTTCTTCACTTGATTGCTTCATTTAGTTGCATTTCGTGACAATTCCTGAGTTGAGGCGGTTCCAATTTGTGCTCGTTATATTCATTTGTGAATAGTGATACTCGTGGAAAGAAAAAATATTTGGTTGTGAACAATTGTGAAGTTTGATTTAAAAGTTGAAGGTGCTAATTGATATCAGATCAAGTAAGTAATTTATTTTTATCTAGCTTTTACCCGCGGCTTCGCTCACGTTAATTTATCCTCTTGGGGGTGGAATTCATCAAAATTCTTTCTTAGGGGATGCCTACGTCATAGTAGCTCTATGCATGCAAAGTCTCGGCCCGATCGGTTTAAAATTGACAATGTTTCATACAATTCTTCACCCCCTATTTTATCCCCTTGGGGGTAGAATTAATCAAAATCCTTTCTTAGCGGATGCCTACGTCATAACATCTACGTGCATGCCAAATTTTAGCCCGATCCGTCCAGTGGTTTGGGCTGTGCGTTGATAGATCACTATGTCAGTCAGTCACCTTTGAGTTATATATATTTAGATTTCTGTTTAGTTTTTTAATAATGCTTTGGCACTTATCTAAGTAGTTTACTGCAGATATCTTTTGATCTGAAACTAAGTGAAAGTAATGTGTAAATCTAGATTATTTTACATGTATCAATAACATTAAAACCATTACAGAATAATAAAATGCAGTTTTGTGAGGAAATTAGAAATCGCGGCAAGTCCTTATATTTTTTTAAATTTGTTTATAACTCTTTATTGCACCTTAAAAAAATACAAAATAAAATATTCATAGTATGTATGTAGGTACAAAAAGCGGTCTTATTGCTTAAGCGATCTCTTCCAGACAACCTTTGGGTTGAGTAGAAAAGACAGATGGTGGTGGATCGCGCAAGATGGAATGAATAAACATAAATAATAATAGTAATTATATATACATAATATAGGTACTTTATACATAATATACATATAAAATTAAATATGTAATATAAAATTAAAGAAATAAACTAGTAATTAGTAAGAGCATAGATACTATAGATATACATAACGTAAATTTTTTTTATGGATGATTATGGAATGTTGTACCGGTTTCTTTCTTGTTTGTTGTAACGGTTTACGCTGGCAAGGCACCAGTGGAGGATAATAAGATGAGCATGAGGTCAGGTCAGTTAGCCCATCGCACAGTGGGAACTCGCCTAAGAAAGCCATCTCATAAATACTTTTTCTAAAACTCCGTGGATATGCATGTATAATACCTCAAATTGTAGCCAAAGATTTACTCTATCATTATAAATATGATTCAAATCTCTGACTATTCATACTTCATAGAATAAAGCCTCTAAAATCAAGGATTGAAAAAAATACAAAAATAATTTTGTAACTTAAATTTGTTTGGTATAAGTTTATAGTATCAAAACAATATCAAGTCATATAGTGTGATACCATTTTAGAATGCTTAGAATGTGTACTTTACTATAAAATAAAAAAATATTTAGTTTAGTCGAATATTATTTAACTAAAAATCCATATATCGTTATATGCACTATTTTCTTTTCTCAGACTTTCACTTGGAGATTTGACAGTTGCCGAAGCTTGCCGAAGTTCTAAATTTGGTTTTATTTATTAGGAAATATAATGTAATTTGATGGCATAACATTTTTTTTTGCAGTTTCACTGCGTAAAATATTTAAATCGAGTATAATATCATGGTGAGATTTGTTTTTTCTAAGTACGTATATCAAGACTTTCTTCTTTATTTGAGATTCTCTGTCTGTATACTCAAAAAAATACTTTTTGCTCAATGATTACTATATATTTTATCTTTTGCCTTACTTTTATCAAGTATTTCACACAGTATATAGTTCCCATTCCCATACAGACCTATTCTATACCGCATAATGATAAATATTTTTTATCAAGTAATTTTGCACACGTATATGATAATTATCAAGTATAAAATAGTGTATGTATTTGTATATGAAATATTACAGTTCTTCATAAGCATTTGTCATTACTAAACAATTGTTAATTACTCATCTCGCCCCAATGAGTGAATTCTCGTGTACCAGACGCGACTTAAGTCTCTTATTGATTTAAAGTGATACAAATTATGTTGATTTTATCTCAATTCTTTCGTATATAGTATACGAAATAATTTTACCAAATCTCCAGATGCGAATATAGCAAAAATTATCGCAAGTATTCAGAAGTCCTTCATAACTCAGTTTCGTCAACGCTATACGAAATGTGGTCAAAAGAAAGAACAGTTTTTAAATAAAATAGCAATTGATAGGATGGTATTTTCACTGTAAATCTAGAAAAAACTACATGCGAACCTGAACCTCCTTCTTCGACAGAGAAAAGAGGAATATCTTCTAAAACGTACGAAGACAGTTCGGACAAAGAAACGGAAAAACAAGGGATTGTTGATGAAGTCCACAGGTATCAACCTGTGGACTTCATACTG